TTACCTTATATATATTTTAGTATATTATATCTTAAATTTTATGTTATATTTAATATTGTATATTTATATTTATTGCATGTGATCTTGTATGTAAGACTTTGTATGTGACAAATTTTATATCCGGCCCTACTGGGTAACAACTGATCTATGAAATGTAATTACAAATAAATAAATAAATAAATAAAAGTCACGTGGTTCCATAAAAAACTGACCCAAGTGATGAAATCTTAAATAAGATATGGCCCCACAATCACACAGGATGTGTGTGGCTGATTCGTTTTCTTGTAAGCACCTTTCACAAGTTGGGTTATCTGTCAGTCCCAACTTGAAAAGGTGTCCTTTTAGATGGCAGTTCCTGGAAGCAGTCCAAACTGCAGTTGCTACCGAATCCAAGCCAAATGAATGGGGCATGGGAGCCTACCACAATGCTAGCCAATCAGCTCAGACCACAGCAGCACCAACGCCCATTGGATGGGGTGCTGCTAGCGACAGTGAATAAAGATGCATACCTCTGACACACTAGTCAGTCAGTCGGAGCTGCCCTTACCTTGAGACAGCTCATCTGGAGCTCACACAGCAACAGTGCATCTGACAAGGGAATGGTCCGATCCAACATGTCGAAACCTGCCCTGATTTTTTTTTCACTGCAAGAGTACACACAACAAAATCCACTGTCAAAATTTTTGCTGCTAATACGCACTGCAAGTATTTTTTAAAAATTGCCGAAGTTACTCATTTTTTGTGTACACAGAACCGCTTGTACCAGAGGTTTGTACAACCCCAGCTCTGTACATGTCAGATTACGATGCATTTGTGCCGTGTTATCTCTCTACCGATGCACCAGAAGCCTAGGCTGTGAGTCAGCTGTATTGCGTGTTGCCTACTGCTCTGCTCTGCTAGGGGTGGACATTTCTCCAAGGGTCTGGCAGGCTATAATATTGGCCATGTTCAGCAATTTTTAAAAAATATTTGCAGTGCGTATTAGCAGCTAAAATTTTGACAGTGGATTTTGTTGTGTGTACTCTTGCAGTGAAAAAAAAAATCAGGGCAGGTTTCGACATGTTGGATCGGACCATTCCCTTGTGAGTAGCAACACCATAAACCAAGACCGCTAGCTAGTGTTTAGACCCATCAGGAAGTCCACTGACTGCTTATGGCCCTATGGCCGCTTCGCTGCCGACACATGGAAGACCGGTGTCCCTAGCGCAAGCCAGCCAGCTGCGGCCAGAATTTCACCAACATTCATCAGGCGCGTCCTGCCTTAAAGTTAATGGCCCTTTTCAGGGTTCACAACACTTCACTGGTTACCACACACACTGTTTGCCTGCTCGTCTGTATGCTCGCCTTCTAACAGCAATAAGTATCTGTTATAGAAATGTATATGGTTGTCTCTCCGAGTACGGAGTTCAGCTCCCATATTGGTGACCCCGATGAAGAATGGAGACTGTGGACAGCTCACCACCAGTGGAGATATCCATTGTGGCCATGCGGCTTATTCTGTTCAGGGCCGAGCGGCTGGCCGTGTGGTTTGCTCAAGCTGAGGCACAGTTTACCTTGGCCGGCATCAGCAGCGAGAAGACTACCTTATGCTATGTGATCTCTCAGCTGGATCACCAGTATGCCACGGAAGTAATGGACATCATCACTTCACCTGCCTTTGAGAGGGCAATGCATCTGCCAGCTCCTTATGCTCGAGGAGACAGTGACCACAAACCGTCCCAGTTTCTCAGACACCTCAGGAACCTCGCCCTAGACATGCCAGCTACTTCCTCCACAGCATCTGATCTGGTCGGTTATGCCCACATCTTACGCATTATTCTCATTGGCCAGCCTGCGGGCAACTTGAATGCAACAGCATGCTGTGTGGACCGCATCACGGAGGTTGCACCCCAGCCGGCGCCCGCAGACATTCCGCTCCCTGACAGCCCTTCACTTTTGCAGTGTATCGAGGACGTCTCCCACCAGGTTGCAGTACTCACCGCTGAGCACCCTCGCTCCAGCTTCAGGGACTCTTGCCCCAGTTCCAGGAACCACCACCCAGGCAGCAGATTGCCCATCCAAGATGACATGCATCCACCTTCTGCTGGTACCATTGTTGTTATGGAGCCCGGGGTACAAAAGTATACTCATCCCTGTGCCTACCACCAGCAGGGAAGGTAACACAACGGAAATCAATGGTGGCACATGTCTGCGGTACAACCACAGGCTCCCTCTTCATAATGGATGGGGTCAGTAAACGGCAGTTCCTGGTAGACACGGGTTCAGACCTCTGCGTATACCTCTGCAGGCTCATTCTGTGATGCAAGGAACATGTCAACTACGACCTGTGTGCTGCTAATGGCACTACCATCTTCACCGACTATAAGCCCATCACCTACACCTTAATCATTTTGACTTTGTAGCCCAATTTACGATGAACATATGGCACAACTCCGGCCATGACAGCATTGTAGCCATCACTGTCTCTCACATGGAGTCCGTCACAGTGCCACCATCCTGTGATGCACTGGTTGCATCTAAGGACAGTGACGACAAACTCCAAACACTCCTGGAGGCAGTCACCATGCTGCGGCTCGAGAAACTACCAATTCTCAGCAATGCAGTCTCCATCTACTGCAGTCTGCCTGCTGGGAAATCTCGGCCATACATTCTAGCGCCCCTATGGCTCCAAATGTTCCAATCTGTCTATGATCTGTTGCACCTAGACACCAAAACAACGGTGAAGCTAGTTGCACATCGTTTTGTGTGGTCAGGCATACAAAGGGATTGGCTGACCTAGGCATGGGGTTGCCAGTCCGGCCAGCACTCCAAGATCTCCTGCCACACAGTTGCTTCATTGAGCGACTTTGCTTCGCCTGCAACCCCTTTCCTCCACATCCACATAGACCTCATTAGGCCCCACCCCACGACAGCAGGCTACACATACTGCCTCACTACTGTAGTCAACCGGTTCACCTGCTAGCTTATGTCGTCCCCAGCCCAGACATCACAAGCTGGCCAAGCTGTATGACATCCAGCTCTCTTGGACAGCTGGCTGTCATCCAGCAGCTAATGGACTCATGGAATGCTTCCTCCAGGTGCCGAGGCAACCTTCATGTGTTACGCGGACCAACACTGGGCAGAGGCACTTGCCCTCATTCTCCTCGGTATCCTCTTGACATTTGAAGTGGACCTGCAGGTATCAGTAGCTGAGCTCGAATACGGCGAGCCTATCATAATCCCTGGCAAGTTGCTGACTCCAGTAGCCAACCCATTGGAACAAGGCACTTCATCACCCAGGTCCACCAGCACATGGCCCACCTCAGACCAGCTCCAGCAGCACATTTGTGCACAGCAATCTCCACAAGTGTGTGCATGTCTTCATCAGGGCACAATGTGTCAGGCTTTGGAACCCTCCTGCAGTGGCCCCTACCAGGTCCTGTCACAGAGAGAGAAAACACTGCAACGCCTTGTGTGCGACAAGCCCATCACCGTATCAACCAATAGGCTCAAGCCAGCCTACATGCTCAATGGGACTGACCGCAGGAACACCACCTTCATCCACACAGTCGACGTACATACTCAGTGGGACTGACTGCGGGAAAATCACCTTCAACCACGCGTTTGACAGCACCCTGGCCATAGCACCACCTGCCATGCCACCATCACCTGTCATATGAGCTGCACGCTCTGGTCACCGCCTCTGTTTCCCAGCTCACTTCAACAACTGAGCAACCATCTCAGTGAGGGGAGGTGTTATGTGGGAACCTATCATAATGCTGGCCCATCAGCGTGGATTACAGCAACGCCAACACCCGTTGGGTTGGACACCGCTAGCGACAGTGAATAAAGAAACATACCTCCAACATGATAGTCAGTCAGTCAGAGCTGCTCTTACCTTGAGACAGCTCATCTGAAGCACACACAACAGCAAATCTCTGAGAAGCAACACCATTAGCCGACTCTGCTAGCACTTCCTAGACCCATCAGGAAGTCCACTGACAGTGCTTACTGTCCTATGGCCAGCTGGATTAGCTGGTTCACGGTCATCTGGCAGCCAGTGTAAGAAGACCGACCTCCCTGGCACAAGCCAGCCCACTGCGTCTAGAGTTCCATCGGCATTCGTCGGGCGCGCCCTGCATTAGAGTTATCTGTTATAGAAATTGTCTCTCCAAGTTCTGAGTTTGACTCTGACAGAGGCAGTCTATATCTGAAACTAGTGGACTAGTCAGAACCCCACCTTCAAAAGGATTGGGGGGGGGGATATCAGACAAAGAAATTATGACACTCTCTTAAAAATTGTTGGTGATTTTCATTTTCAGGTGAAGATTTAATCATAAACCCTAAGGATTTTCCTGGTATTAAGAAAGGAAATATAGTTGAAATATATCATCCTGAAGATGAGTTTAGCAGACTTTTATTACAAGTAACAGTACTGAAAGAAGACTTACAAGGAAAAGGTAAAACTAACATGTGGTTTCTTTAAAAGGTGAATGTCATAAGGTACAGATTGCTTAGTTTGAGTAATGTATTGCCAATTATATGCTGAATAGTTGGTTTTTTTATTGTCTGGTAGCAGATGTATTCAGATGGAAATACAACTAATTATTGTTGATATATGTTTGATAGTGAGTGGATTTGTGACTGATGTACAAAATATTACACTGTAATTTGTTATATTTACTAAAAATTGGACTGGTAACATGCTGGATGGGATAAGAACAATAATTTTTTAATGTTTGAAATTAATGTAGCTTGGGTTTGAATAAAACTCATGGAAGGCATGTGAGAAATATTTATGTAAGTGTACAAACAAAAAATCAAAAACAAACTCCGTGGCCTGTATCCTGCAAGCGAACTATACCAACCGAGCAACTGCTACTTGTCGGTGAAGTTAGTGCTAACTTCTGTGGGTAGAGGGTGTCACATGGTCAGCACAGTGGATCCCCACAGCCATTAATCTCGGTTTTCTATACCGGAACCGCCATCTCCTTGAAATAGCTCATCAGTTATCCTCACGAGGCTGAGTTATGTAAGTGTACAAGGGGGTTTATTCAGCTTGATTGGTTTATTACACACAAAAGTGTTTTCCATTTGAATGCTGAAAATAATGTGACATGAAAGGTGGGAATAGTTTAACAAGAAAAGGCACCCATTGCTAGGGCAATGGCAGATAAACATTCTTCCAAGGGAACCAAAACACATTCCTCAGCAATGAATCAACACACAGAAACTATTGGAAACTTTTTTTTTATATGTGCTCCTTGCTGAGGAGACTGCCTCTGTGATCTAGTGGTCAGAGTTCCTGGCTACAGATCCAGAGGTCCTGGGTTCGATTCCTGGCGTTATCAGATTTTATGAGAAGTAGTTGGTCTGTGAAATTAAATCTAGGATTGCCATGGCAAAAGCTGCATTTAGCAAGAAGAAGAATCTTTTTACCACCAAATTGGACTTAAATTTGAGAAAGAAACTAGTGAAATGCTACATTTGGAGCATAGCTTTGTATGGGGCTGAAACTTGAACACTTAGGGCAGTAGATCAGAAACACCTGGAAAGCTTCGAAATGTGTTGGAGAAGGATGGAGAAGATCAGTTGGACCGATTATGTGAGAAATGAAGTGTTATGTAGAGTCAGTGAGCAGAGGAATATCCTACACGAAGTAAGAAAACGGAAGGCTAATTGGATTGGTCATATCTTACGCCGTAACTGCCTTCTAAAAGAAGTTATTGAAGGAAAGATAGAGGGGCAGATAGAAGTGACCAGAAGATGAGGAAGAAGACGTAAGAAGATGCTGGATGACCTTGGGGACAGAAGAGGATATTTTCATTTGAAGGAGAAAGCTCTAGATCGCATCAAGTGGAGGAACTGTTTTGGAAGAGACTGTGGACCTGTCGTGTTGACAGATTACTGATGATGAGTTGGTCTGGAATGGGGTCCACTCAGCCTTGTGAGGATAATTGAGAAGCTATTTCAAGGAAATAGCAGCTGCATGGGGATCCATTGCGCTGACCATGTGACACTCTCTATCCCTATTATTGCACAGAAGGCACCAGGTAGGTGGGAGCCTAAGGCGTGTAGTGTGAATTGTTAGCACCACAAAGAAATACAACTCGTTGCACAGAAAGCATCAAGCAAGTGGGAGTCTAAGGATGTTGTGTTTGAGAGAGATGACTCAACATAATGCAATGTGAGATACTGGCAGGCTGTTCTCTCCTTGTTCGATGAGAGATGTGAAAAACTAACAGAAGACCATTCAGATGTGAAGAAGGAAATGGATCTAGTGCAAGCTTGTATAGTTCAAATAGGACAGCTTGTTCAAAATTCTCCCAAAGGGAATGGAAATGGTGCAAAGCATAAGCAACCAGTGGTAAGAGCTGAAGCTGACAGGCACACCCTCTGCAAGTTTTGAAATAGGCAGGTGCTACGAGTATTTACTGGCTTATTTCACACGTATGCTGCAGCATACATGGAAATGAGTGATAGTCTTCAACCAAGCAGCAAGGAGTCACGACAGGAAGATGCTTCACCAGCAGAACAAAACAACTGCTGAAAGAGAGACAGAAATTCTAAAGATGAGTGCTGCTCAAAGAAAGAGAAGAGGCCACCCCCAATTTAACCAAAACCCATGGCTGGTGGCAATGAATAACTTCTTTGTGCCACTTAGGGATTTACTTATGGAAAATGCAGAGACTGGTAGTGAAGTAAACTCCATTAGAATACCTGGAAGAAATGAGGGTCCGGGAGGAGGCAGGCCACCTCCTGTCATATTAACACCAGAGGCTAACTTAGTCTCCAGAGAGAACTGAAAAGTGTTGTGAGTGGGCAGTTTTTCTTTTGGAACTGTGCAGTCGGAACTTGGATCACAACTAGAAGTCTGGTGGATCAAAACACCAAAAATTCCTCACTGACAGAAGTCTCAACTTCTTTGCATTTTACAGAAAGGCGAATAAAGCTGTTAAAGCTATTATCAATCACTTGGCTGACAGTATTTTCTGTAGATGACATCAGTGTGGTCCCCCAGGAGAAAAACTACGACATCAGCAGTGTAAAACAGATGACTATTAAACGTCTCACTCCAGAAGGAGGGGTTGCACACATCGCCATCCCCCTCTTCCAAGTTACGATACCAAGGAATCATTAAGCTCTAGAAGTCTTCAATTTGACAACACTCTGTAAAATAGCTATAAGGATCTAACCTGCAGTGGGGAAGAACCTTTGTCATGGCCTCACATGTGTAAATTACAAACTATCAGATGATTAGGCAGAGGTGAGAAAGGCCCAGCGTAAAGGGGATAGTGTAGAAAGTACAATACATAAAGTTCTGAAATTCCTCTTGCCAAAAATGAAAGACTGGTTTCCAGATAATGATGGTATTTGCATGCAAGACAGGGTTACATATCATACTGACAAGGTTGTGATGAATCATCTGCACTGCCACAATATTGAAAATGGTCAGCAAACAGCCGGGATATGAATCCAATTGAGAACATCTGAAAAGAAATGGAGTGTGTCAGCAGAACTTTTAGTAACATTAAGCAGCACCTCCCTGAGAAGTTGCTTCCAGTCTGTCACAAAGATCAGAGTTATTCTGTTTTTGCTAAGGGAAGTGGAATCCATACTGTGATGCATCAAAGTTTCTACAAAGGCCAAAGGAGGACCAACAAAATATTTGGAGATTTATTTTGTAAGTGAATATGTATACATATTGTTGTTAAATAATATTAGACCTGTACAGTTTTTATGATAAACTCTATTACTGCAGAAGAAGGAAGGAATTCCTAATTTGTTGAACATCTGCTATGCATATGAAATTCATGTCACTCTAGAGAATTATGGGAGAACATAGCATCTTACCCCCTTGAAACTGTTCAAGAATCCCCTTCAGAATCTCGAGGGAAGTCCTTATACGTCTGTGTCTTTCCCCAGTTAAATCTCTGACATGTCCAAGAATCACTGCTTCTAATCAGAAAAACACTATCAGAATTCAAATATATAATAATGAAGAAATTGTTATTGTTGAGTGGGATTGTTTTCTGCTTCATTCATTGCTGGTATTCCAACATTACTGCTCTATTTATGCAAAATCTAGAATATTTAAACTTGATTTTAAGATAAATAGGCTTTTAAGGGCTGACTTTAAACTGAACTATCATTTATAGCAGCTTATAAATGAGAAATGAGTTTGTCTTGTATTGTACGAATGAACCTGTTTATAACTGGGACATTTCTCATAACTGTGTTTTGATTTCCAGATGCAATTAGTGTGGAACAGAGTATTGCAACAGCTTTCCAGCTTCGGACATATGCTGATGTTATCATGAATATTGTGAACCCTGAAGATGTTGCTCTGGATTCTGTTGAACTGACGTTTAAGGATCAGTACATGGGTCGTAGTGAAATGTGGAGATTAAAGAACAGTTTGGTGAGAGTCATAATATATCTGAAGACTCATTATATATTTGTTTCATTAAATTTTGTAATACACGTCATTGTCTTTTAATTTTCAGGTAAACACCTGTGTTTATTTGAACAAGAAGATTGAATTCTGTGGAGGAAGTATTCGTTGCCAAGTATATGAAATGTGGTCCATGGGAGATAGAGTTGCTTGTGGTGTAATCACTGACGATACGAAGGTAATGTAGAACAGTTATAAATAGATAAACAACATAAATTTCCACTCTTAGCATTTTCCAAGGAACTGTTTATTTGAGGTGTATTTCATGCCTGAAATAATGCTTTCAGATAATTTATGTCATGCATTATACTTATGAGCCCAATTAACTTTTTTTTTTTTTTTTTGTTTTATATCAAATTCATATGTCCTGGTAAAGAATAAGTATTAGAAGTGCGAGTGGCATGAGATCATGTCAAGTTGTGGTGGGAGCAGTGTTGATCCTTTGGGTTCTGCTGATTGAGTCATTTAATGATGCTCCTTAAACTAAGTAGATTATGTAGTGTCAAATGATATGTGGAGGTGTACATGAATTGTACATGAGAAATATTTTAGAAGAATGTGGTTATGGGTTGATTGAAAGTATAATTTTAGAACTGAAGAAGACCACAGAATACCTCAGTTAAGGTAACTGGTAGCTGAAGTGAAATTTTAGCCTGGTACCTCTGGAATAAAAGTCTGTGCATTTGAGTTTTAATATTCCCCATCTAATATTTTAACATGAGTGTATTATTATCGGTTAGTAATGTAGACCATTACATCAGTATTAGAAAATTACCAGATTCTGTTTTAACATACTTTTTATATTCTTGTGCTGTTGGGAAATTCAGACATGCTGGATTAATACTTCTCTCACCAAATGGCAGATGTGTGTTTTGGTGATGGTATAAAGGGACTGCAAAATTCGCAAGCACATGGTATGAAATTATATGAATATACTATATTATTTTTATTGGGAGTTACTATATTAATTTGTTTTAGAATTAATACTTTTCTAATATCTTTAGCTCCAATATTATATTTAAGCATCCTGTTACACTCTACACGATATATGACATAAACTCCGTCCTAAGTGCAACAGTTTATTGTAGTTCTTTCGTCTTGCTTTCTTCTACACTACATGTATTTTTTAAATTTTAAACTACGTGCAGTGTAGCAGCTGTGTGAGCGTATACACCTGATGATGGCCGTTTGCGGCTGAAACATACAGTGTAGAAGAAAGCAAGACGGAAGAACTACAATAAATTGTTGCACTTAGGACGGAGTTTATGTCATATATCTTTAACTCCATTTTTCAATACTGATCCATTCTCACTTTTCAAAATTTTACTTGCTGAAGGTGCATTAATTTTTGGAAGCATACAGATTCAGCCACTAACTAACTACATGGAGCTGAGCCCCTGAAAAGCCGCCCATTGCACAGCTACACAAGAACTTCAGAACATCTTAACAGAACCCGAAGGTTCATTACTGTGTTCACAAGAGCCATCTGCTAATCCCTATCCTGAGCCAGGTCAATTCAGTCCACACCGCCCCATCCTGTCTGTAAGTTTCATATTAATATTATGCTCCCACCTATGTCTAGGTCTTCCTAGTGGTATTTTTTCCTTATTGCTCTTCCACAAAATCCTGTATGGATTCCACTTCTCTCCCATGCATACTACATGTACTGTCCATCTCATCCTTCTTGACTTGGTCACTATAATTGTACTTGGTGAAGAGTACAAATTGTCAGGCTCCTCATTATGCAGTTTTCTTCAACCTCCTGTCACTTCATTCTTCTTCAGTCCATCTAATTTTTAATTTCTTTGCACAGCAATTGAGAAGACAGAAAGTTCTGGACTGAATGGTAGCAAGGATTGCCTAAATTTGATCTGCTCTTGATTTCCTCCGGAATCAAATTTTTGTTTGTTACTGTCATTCCCAAATAATTGAACTGTGCCGCATTTTCTGTGTTTTTCTTTATGGTATCAATTTAATCTCCCAGTAGATTTACATCATCAGCATAGACCATCAGCTGATGTGTCCAATTTAATTTCAACCCCGCCTGGTTTTCCTGGACCTTCACAATGGCAGTAAAGCATCCCCTTGAAAAGTGCTCACTTCTGAGATATAATGCCATGTAGTCCATTCAAAGTCAACTGATGTTACTCCAAAACCCTCATGCTGAATGACCACTTCTTGTTGGCTGTCCATGACTTCGTATTCAGTATATTCACAGCTAAAGCAAGTGTCATGTAACTTCGAACAAGGCCAAGAGTAACCTTGAATGCGCAGAAGAAAAATTGTCTGAACTTGTTCAAAGTTACGTGACTTGCTATATCCTACATATCTGGAGGCTGTCTCCTCCATCCACAAGCTGAGGGTGCATCATACCATGGTGAGAGGGACCCACTTAACATGGACAGAGTCTTCCAGAAGTTTCTTTTTTGGATAATGGCAGTAGAGCAAATGCTCAATTTTTTTGTTCACAAACCAAAATGACACATCGTTTCTTAATGTTCTTGCAGGAATGGGATTCTCTTGGCATCATTGTTGCTATATTTTCACCAGTTGCAGAATCTGTTTTTTAATTGCCCTGAGTTACACTGAGCTTGGTTGTTGTTCTTCTAAACAATTACCGTCTAACAGAAATAATAGCAACTGGCCACGTTAGATATCAAACACCCTCTGACTCCTTCCTTATACCAAAACCCGCATAATTTCTCTTTATAGTGTTAGCATTACTCCAGTATGAAGAAACAGCCCATAGTGTAATGTGTTCATGTCATAATTCTGAGTTAATGTGTCATACTTAATGACACCAATGTCCTAATTCTGAGTTAATGTGTCATACTTAATGACACCAATGTCCTAGTCCTCCCTGTGCAGATCATGGAAACTGCCCACTTGCATCTTGAGAGAATGGAAGAGGGTTCTCTCTAAGGACAAGATAGTCTTGAGCTTGTGAAGTGATAGAGGTAGTCTGTTTCTGTCTGTTCATTCAGGACTTTATATCTCCTCTCCCCCAACTGTGTTTCTCAGTGACCATCCTCCTTACTGTGCTTTTTGTGGAAGGGTAGTTTCTCACCTTGCCACCCGCATAAGGGCAGTTTCACACAATTCCTTCTTCAGCATTTGGCATATTCTGCAAAAGAAGAGTTTTTTGTTATTGCTAGTGGGGTGGGACTAAGTCCCTTGTACTGCGGCACTTCTGGCCTATTGTACTAGCCCCAGATGATAGGTGAGGGTGATTGTGGAGCAGTTGGTGGAATGAAGATTGGCAGGGGAAACCGAAGTACTCAGATAAAACCTGCCCCAGCCCCACTTTGTCCACCACAAATCCCACTTGACCAGACCCGGGATCGAACCTGGGCCACCACGGTGGGAAACCAGTGACTAACCGCTTGTGCTATGGCGCGGCCTAAAAGAAGAGTTTCTCACATTTCTGTTGTGCCCTTCCTATTGACCTATTTAAGGATCTTCCTCTTCTTTTTGTGTATCAGTATGAGTAATTACATTCCAAGGTACCATGCCTACATAAGCTGGCCCTGGCCTTACCCTAATTGCTTCGACTCTTAAGGCGTTGGCAGCATGTTCCTCTGAGCAGTGGTATCCCCCGAAGGCTACAATCTGAACACTCACTGCTGTGAAAACCTGAGAACTTATATTTTTGTTTTTTTTATAGGTGGTATTCCGGTCATCCACCAGCATGGTATACCTGTTCATTCAGATGAGTTCAGAAATGTGGGATTTTGATATTCATGGAGACCTATATTTTGAGAAAGCTGTTAATGGTTTTCTTGCTGATTTATTCCAGAAATGGAAGGTAACAGCTTTGATTTGATTAAAATTTAGTTTTCTGCATTGTTGTGTTGGCACCCTTTAATACTTTTGCTTGTTAGGATAGCTGCTTAAGAATTTCTAAGACTAAACTTTGCTTAATGTCTCCTTATAAAAGGTTTTAGATACAGTGCCCAATATTGTAGTCACTTGAATTTCATGACCTATATGTTTTTCTGTTATTTGAAAACACATATATAATTCACATATTTCAATACTCTTTCAGAAAAATGGAAGCAACCCTGAGGTTACTATTGTGTTATTCTCTCGCACATTTTACAAAGCAAGCAACCTGGAAGAATTTCCTGGTTATATGCGGGAATGTCTACAACAGGACTACAAAGGCCGTTTTTATGAAGATTTTTATAGGTAATGGTGCACATTCATGTTAGTTGAGAAATTGAATGTAAACAAAGTTTTTATAGTTTAGATATGACAGTATAATAGTATACAGCAGTCAACATGTAGAAATTTGTTGCTGACTTATTGTTATAAAATCAGAATATACTGCCTTATTTGTTTGAGAATATAACAAATTAAACTTCGTCCTCCTCTGTTAGTGCTAAGAAATGAAAAACGTTCCCGAGATGCATGATCTTTATAGGACCGTTTTAAAGAGGTAATCTAATTACAGACTCTTCATCATAGGTTTAAACCTGGAAACTGAATAGAGTAATTGGTTTGAGTTATGGTGTTATTGATGATTTATCAGAAATGACCGAGATCTGACGTAGGTCACAGATACAAAGGAATCATGGGATGCAAAGTTACAAGATTTTATAAATAGTTACTAGTACAGGCTACCCTGATTAGGGTTTGCTGTACCCCCCCCCCCAGGTGTTAATAGGACACTGGAAGGATTGTATCTTTAAAATGAGTACCACCTAACTTGTTTCCTTTCACAATTTTAGCACCATCCAGTACTATCATTTATTTTCAAGTCACAGCACTGTGATTACTTATGCATTTGTTCCATTGACTGGTCAGGGAACACTGAAGCTACACGAACAGTTGCTCTGTTGACAGGTAGAGATCATGATGCCTTCAAACCTGTTGCACATAGAAGTCATACAGTTTCATCCAAAAATGTGTAATTACATGTTCTTGACATTTCCAGAGTGGCAGTGCAAAATGAGAGGTATGATGACTGGACAAACACATTGGTACAGCTGCGGCGTCTTTTCACTGATTATCAGAAGATAGTGCTTGAATATCACAAAAAGCCTTGGGTTCAGATCCCGAAAGCCGTTAACTCTACAGCAGCACAAGGAAATTTTCTCGAAGTCCTAAACATGTCTCTGAATGGTTGGTATTTTTCATTTTAACTAACGTTTTTTAAAGATTTGTGATGAATGGAAGAACAGTGTAAATTCTTGTTTTGAGCTGAGAGCAGGTTGATATAGTGGCAGTGTTCTAACCTTGGCACGATGATGGCTGCTCTGTGTGAGGCTCTTTATGGTTTTTCTCAGTTTCTTTAGGCAAATGATAGAATAGGGCATTGAAATAGGCCATGACCAAATGTTTCCAAATTGTGACATAATCATAATTTATATTAACTTCCCCATCACATTTGATGGTCTATAATTGCTACAGTGGAAACAGATCATTAGGTAACCTGAAAGTCAGCCATTTCATTTTGATTCTGAAAGAGGTAACATTTACCTGAATTGTAAGGCAAGTATTATCTCTGTTTTGACATCTGAACAATTAATGATCTAAAATTTGTATACTGTGGAAATTCCCACTCAGGTCATTCCTTTTATAGCATGTAGAGTCATTGGTATGCAACATCCATGAGATGGGCAACAGCTCAGTAAACATGTTCCTGTGGCTTGACAGCAGATTCTTAATAATGCAACAGTTTTACAACAACAGTCGAAGAGCTGTGTTTTCTATGTGGTCCATGTTAAGAAGTTTTAAGTAAGATGAGGTTTGGAGCTTTGTCAATTGAGAGTGAGTTCTGTATGGGAGGCTGTGAAGAAGGGACTTGAGCCAGAGGCAGAGGAATAGCCATTCTTGGAGTTGTTACCAGGAAATGTCAACTAACAGATCGAGAACACTGGAGTGTGTGCTCTAGTGAACTATAAAGTGTGGAAACAGTGATAGTGTTATAGTAATTTTAGTTATGACCTGTAAGTGGTCAGTAAATTTATTCCCCAATCCAGACCCTGTTTATAGTCACTCAGACATGTGACAACTGCTCCCTCCTTAAGGCTGTTTGTCCCAAATGGCTTCCAGGTGTGCTGTCATTTCCAAGGGCTGTGCTTGCAACATCTGTGCTTGGTGTCACATTCTTTCCCTTAGCTTGGTTCTCACGGTGATTACTCTCCAACTGCTCCCGCTGCTCCCTCCTTAGGGGCGCTCATCCTGAGCAGCTCCCTCAAAATGTGCCATTTGATCCAGGTGTACTACCATCAGCCTTCTTTTCCGCATCATGACACAACAGGATGAAAACAATCAAGATTCTTCTTTTGGTTGGTGCAGGCAAATGACCTAGAGTGGCCAGTACTCCTGCATCCCTGGCTGTTACTCTGTATGCAGTCTCTTCTTTCGTTATGGAGGGGGCCGACCCCTCCACAATGTCCTGAGATTCATTTTCTGAGTCCTGATTGGTGGTTTGACACTTTGCTTTCAATCTCCAGCATGAGAGCCTTCCTGAAGATGCTGCCGAATAATTTATTCGATTTTGCTGGAAACCCCCCCTCCCCGAAGATGATTCTTCAATCTCACAAGGCAAATATCACGGTCAGTGGCATTTCTCAGGGGAGGCCAAGGTTATCTGGGGCCCAAATGTGTCGACTGGAGGTGAAACATTCACCACACTGGCCAACCAAAGGGGAAATAAAAATGTTTTCATGTGTGTTCACTACATAAGAAAAGCAGGAGCGTCATTTACTATTGCAAAAAGTGTGATGTTGCGCTGTGTGTCTTGGACTGCTTTGAGAAGTGGCACGTGTGTCAGAGTGTGATGTATCGTAAACTGTGAAGTGATGCAGTTAAAATTCGCATACAGTCTGAACAAAATATTGTTGTATATAGTGTGATTATATTTACATCACCAAGTCCCAAGGTTGAAAAAAAAACTACAGGTAAGTCCTCTGGAATTTCATAACATAATAAACTTTTTATTTTGCAATTCATGACAAAATAATCACAGTTAATTTGCGTTTGTAAAAATTGCTCTTTTGTGTATATGTAGAAAATTTTATTGTCTTTCAGGTTGTTTTTAGTTCGTATCTCTGTGTTGCATAGAACAGAAAATATGTAGCTTTTTCTTAAAGTTTGCAATGTTAAAGAATTAGGATGATTTAAATTCCAGCTGCAGAGGGCTGCTGGCAATTTAAAAGTCTGGACGTTAAACGTTAATGGTGTTGTGGGTTGTACAGTGGTGTATAAATCCATATTTAAGAATGAGTGAATTATTTCAGGGTGTAGTGACATGATGACTGAAAGCCCAATAGTGGAAGGAATGAAGGAAGCCATTGCAAGGCAATGGCATGGTAAACATGTGTCCATGGAAATGAGTAAACATGCAGCAATAGAGGAACTGTCAGAAATGATGTTTTCTATGTGGTTCATGCTTAGGTTATATAGCAGGGACTGTCATGAGTTAAAAGTGAACTGTCAGAGGTTGGAGTCAGTGGTTAGCAGTTCTGAGTTGCATTGTTAGCAGGGTACATGTAAGTCATGATAGAATATGATTGCATCTTGTGCTGTCATTCTGTGGGATTTGTAGTATCTGGAATGAATGTATGAATTTCTTTCTGTATTACAGTTTTTGAGAAACACTACTTGGATCGCAGTTTTGACCGTACTGGCCAATTATCCGTAGTGATAACACCAGGAGTTGGAGTGTTTGAAGTGGACCGAGAGTTGACTAATGTCACTAAGCAGCGCATCATCGATAATGGTGTTGGAAGTGACCTTGTGTGTGTTGGAGAGCAGCCGCTCCATGCTGTCCCTCTTCTGAAAGTATGTTGACTGAGAAACCTGCCATTTATAGTGTTCCTTTGAATGGTATAGATACACAGGCTTCTGTTGAACATATGACTTTAAGTATTGTTGTTGTTTTTTTTTTTTTGTTTGTTTCTTAGTTCCATAATAAAGACACATCCTTCAGTGCAGCAGATGACTATAGTATGCCACATTGGATCAATTTAAGGTGAGTGGGGAAAAAGCTACATAAATATTTTTCTGAACCATTCTTCAATTTGAAACAGTGTTTGGTACATTATGTTAAAATATTTAAATCCATAAGTTGTGGTCTCATGGCTTATGACACTGTATAGTCTTGTAGGTGGATACCAGTGTTTCAGAGGGACTTTCAGGCTCCCATCTTGAGGGTCAAAGAAGACAAAGGACTGCAGTCTTCTCAAGTTGACCTTGAAAATTGAGGTAGCATGTCCCTCATAAATGTTGGAATCCACCTACAAGACCGTAAAGAACCACAATCTGTCTGCATTCACCACTGTGAAAATCTGAATACTTGTATTTAAATTTCTACCATTCCAGCATTTACAATGGGTAAATTGGCTGAACTCCTCCCCCAATAGTATTTCTAATCAGCTGCTGGAATAGTGCCTTCATGTAGGTCATATCTGTCTTCTACTGGCCATGTGTGATTGTGTTCCCATCACATGTGATAATCTTCAGTTGAAACAGCATCCACTTAGAATCAAACAGAAAGAGAGAATAACATTTTTTTTTTAATATAAATTTGATCTGCACACTCCATTGTAATAGCAGAAAATTCTGTGCAATAAAGTTAAAAATCATAATAATTGCCTTGTATCTGATTACAGTTTCTATTCAACAAACAAAAAAGTGGCATATTCTACCTTTATACCAAGAATCAAACTACCACCGAAGCGAACAAAACCATCACCTGCTTGTAATAGTGGCCCTTTGCAACCATCTAAATCGAAGTTAATCCAAGAGGATGAATGCATGCCAAATTCACTGTTCGATTATGATGCTTATGATGCTCAAGTTTTTCAGTTACCTCCTGTCCATACAGCAAGGTAAACAGTTATTTTATTTTGGTTTTCAGTGTAAGAAATCATTAATACAAATGAACAAGTAACAAAAAAACGTAGCTTGGGTGTGAAAAATAAGAGATTCATGCAGACTTGGATGGGGATATGTCTCTGAAAGCAGCCACTTTTGATGCCAAGAAAAAGATTAGTGTTAAATGAAGGTCAGTGAGGCTGTAATTGGAAGTAGCTGCGTAAGTACAGTGTGTTCGGTTAAGGAGGAAACTTGGCAACACCACTGACCTGGCCCCACATTTCTCACAGATTGCTACTGCAACTGCTGATAGCAGAATGAGTCATTAGTGCTGATAAATGCATGCCATTACAGTTACAGCAGCAATCTGTGAGGAATATTGGGCCCAGTCAACGGTGTTGCGAAGTTTTCTCCTTGATAGAACACCCTCTATAATCTCTAGATTACAGTATAGGCCATGTATTACAAAGAGTGTGGGCTGTGTGCATTATGTAACCTGTTTGATAATACACCTGGTTTACTTGTAAAGAATGTATATGAACACATTTTATGTTTTGAACTGCACCCTGGTAGGTAGCCACTATACCAAATCAGACAGGTTGGTTGTGCTCGGCTTACCCTGATATGATGTGGTCAGACTTTGCACACTGGTTGCACGTAATTCATACAAATGTTAAGCAGTATTTTATCTGGTGATGTGAAATGGTACAGTACCAGCATCTTTCACTCATGAAAGTGGAAAGGTAAAGTTTTGCTTATGATCAATTAGTTAAGCACTATGCCATGAAGAAAGGCCGCGCCATAGCTCAAGCGGTTAGTAGCTGGCTTCCCACCGCGGCAGCCCGGGTTCGATCCCGGGTCTGGTCAAATGGGATTTGTGGTGGCCAAAGTGGAGCTGGGGCAGTTTTCTCTGAGTACTTCAGTTTCCCCTGCCAATCTTCATTCCACCAGTTGTTCCACAATCACCCTCACCTATCATCTGGGGCTGGTACAATAGGCCAGAAGTGGCCCCAGTACAAGGGACTTAGTCCCACCCCACTAGCAATAAAAAAATTGCATAAAGATATGGTGAGTGGATGTATAGCTACGCCATTCTTGACCTTGGCACTAGATGTGAGTGGTCAGCTTCTTGCCGGGGTCGCTTTACCCCCAGGGAAATCGCCCCCATACCCATTGGATAGGGGGCTCTGTGGGCCCCAGAGCCAGCCTGGATGTTGTGGAGAAGAGAAAAATTTCATCCTTGGTGGGTTTCAAACCCCAGCCATCCAGCCTGTAGCCTGCTAGCTGAGCTACCTTGACTCCTATCTTCCGTTCATAAAGTATAGAATATAACATTGTTAATAATATTTAAACACTGTGCTTATTATCTTGAGCACAAACCTGGAAATTATTTCATAGCCTGCTAGGTGCTTAAAAATATCTCTGACAGGCTGTAGAGGCCAATAGGGTTGTGAGATATTGAGGCTCCCACATGTTCTAGACAATCGACTCACAGATGGCAGTGAAGTTTTCAGCCTTATGCGCCCGCCATTCTTTACCCCCATGAAGATTCCTGCTACTCATTTCTGTTAGAGGCTGAGTTGACCCCAGGGTCGTAGTGAGGCTGGAAGGATTGGGTCAATTGAAAAATCCAATGACCTCATTGGGAATTGAACCTGTGACTTTCTCGCATAGTAAAAATGTTAAAAAAATGTGAATCCCTTTTAATTTCTGTTACTGAATGAAGGAATTGAATTACAGGTTCTCCCGTAGTTTACAGCGTGGAAGTAGCAACCGACACAAGAAAACTGGTGTTCCAGTGTTGGATTCACAAAGTGGGAGTGGACAAAAATTTCTCAAGAGAAAAATGTCTGATCCTGATATCCACCATTCTCTGAGTAATGTTGGCTCCCCTACTGGCACCTCTGCCCCTCGCTCAGCAGCCATTTCTATTCCTCAGCATCGTTCGAGTGATGACTCCCCACAGCAGTCAGCGTCAGTTGGATGTGAGTATCTTTGAAATGTTTTCCATTTTCGTGCAGTTATATAAAAGTGTAAGAATCAAATTTAATATTAGAAACACAGAGATATTGGGTTTTTGGACTTTATCCATCGTCCTGGTTTTAAGATAACTAAGAAAAACACAACGTTTCGGAAACTGGATCTGTTTCCGTCTTCAGGTGAGGAAAAACACCTATTCTGTGATTGAGGCTAGCTCTTTCTAAGGGACCCAACGGAATAGGACGGAAGCAGATCCAGTTTCCGAAACGTGTTTTTCTTAGTTATCTTAAAACCAGGATGATGGCTAAAGTCCAAAAACCCAATATCTCTGTGTGTTATACACCATCGTCAGAATCCTATAGTAACTACTTAATATCAGAAGTTACTGAAATGTTGGGGATATATTTTGCAACAGCCCAGCTTTCTCATTCCCCAAATCCGCCTTGTATATGATTGTGACTAATGAAGAAGATATTTGATGATTATACAGTACTTACATTTTTCTTTAATTATAATAAAGAAATTACTTCACCTGAGGCAGTACTATTAATGACAGTAATGATGTTATCTTTACTTACCCGTTGTATGTATATAGTATGTGTGGGTTGGTGCGTGCATGTGTAGAGTTTACTTGTTTTGCAGTTATTGTCATTTAAATAGTTTATGTCTCTGCAGATTATAAACTCAGATTTTGGATTATACAATTATTTTAAAGTTGCATCTAGTCTCCTTAGATATTCATTAACATCTCCTGAAGGAGCTTTGTTTAAGATTAATATAATTAAGTCAGATGTTTTGATTACTAAATGGATTGCACAGATTCAAAGTCCTGCTTGTCCTAAAAAAATACACACACCTCCCCTTTGTAGATATTTTCTACAGAACCTGGAGCATAATAGGTAACCATTCATTGTGAGGTGCAACAGCTCATGTTCCACCACGTGCTCCTCACTTCAATGTAGTTTGGTAGAGTTTATGTTGTCTGTTTCAAAAGAATGTATTAATTCAGAACTTATGCTTCTCAATCCTCTGATATTCTGGTGAAAGATATTTACTGAGTTGGATGATTCTGCATTTCATTTGTGAACTTCCAAGACTGTGGGAATGCATTTGTTATGTGTTAAGCAACTGTGTGTTATTAAATTTAAGCTTAAAAAAAGGAGGTGCTCTAGCATGCATTATAACAGGAATACTGCTTACACCTGATGAATGACCACCAGCAACCCTCTCAGCAATAAGTTCCATGAACCTCTTCTTGCCTTGAGAGTTTAGGTGTAAGCCATGCATAGTGTCATTTTCCCTTGTAATAGATAATGTGTCAGTAACATCAGTGTGATAGATATCATGCTCCAGCAGGGCTTGATCAAGCCATAGATTCATGCTCCTAACTCTCTCCTTTGCCCACAGCTTGTCATGCGTCTCAAAAACCCCATATTGGTATTTGATGTTCTCTCTGCAATGAAGTTTGAGATCATTTTCAGTTAACTAATGACAGTTGCCGTCCAGGCTCTTTCCTGGCCCTCCCACTATAATAATCCTATATATCCTCAGCAACCTTTGCAAGAGGAGTGTTTGGTTTTAAAATACTACACATGTCAAATTTAGTTCCCAGATCTTATTGAAGTAAGGGACCAGTTTCCCTACCATAACTGCTTCCCAGTAACAAGATTTTTCTTTTATTTTTATATGTCTTAACTGTGAATGATTTTGGTTCCCTGCCTTTATGCTTCAACAGAACTGGGGTTTGTTGACCAACTTCCAATGCATCTTCTGCCAGTGTACTGAATTTCTTGTTCAGTTAAACTTGACTAGCATCTTTTGCATCCATTTGTTATCCCAAAATTTTGTTTGAGAAATAAAGTATTGTAAGCACATTTCTGTATGGCAAATATAAAATACATTTCCGGTGTTGAGCATAATGTTTACTTGCACAACATTACACAGTATAACAATCACATTTCCCTGTCTGCCAGGAGTCATGTAATTACGTGTCTGTTTTTAACAACAGATAACTTTATAATACATCTCACTTGCACAGGTAGTCACTGAGAGTTTTATTTCTCCAACTTTGATCATTCTTTCATGTCAGCAATGAGTACAATCTGTACAGGTGCTAGGGTGTGTGAAAGTGGAAACAGCAGTTTGGTGTTTGATGTTTGATGTACTGTTCTCCAGTAAAGCCCCATAAAAGAAAAACCCATGGCGTTAGTCCACAAGTGAACTGTACTGACCAAGTGACTGCCTTTTGTCAGTGAAGTTAGTACCAAATTTAGCGAATAGAGGGTGTTACATTGTCAGCGCAAAGAATCCCCATGGCCATTAATTTTGTTTTTCTAGACTAGAGCCATTGATTTTCCATTCAAATGGCTCTTCAATTAACCTGACAGGCTGAGTGGACCCTGTTTTAGACCTTCTATACCCACTACTTCTAAAAAAATCTGATAGTGCTGGGAATCGAACCCAGGACCTCTGACCACTAGACCACAGAGGTGGTCCCAGTAAAGTCTCATTGTGCATAAAAAGTAGATTCTTAGCTCTGTGGTTCATTGTGTAAACCCAGCATAGCTTGTGGCTCCTGACCTTGGAACAGATTTGTTTCACATGAATGTTAGCATTTGCTGCACTGTAGAGGCATCAGTCTGCTAGACCTTAAAGTGTTAAAAAGATCCATATATTGTTCACACTCAGATTGAAGATGATCCTTCATAATTTCGCTCTGAAAGTGAGGGAAGGAATTAAGTCTTCATTCAGATAAATATGATGTTAAATCAAGATACAGGTTTCATGTAGAGTCTGGATTTGTGTTTGCCAAATGTGAGTAAAACACTAAAATAAGAAACACAGATTTAGAGAAAAGTTACACGATATTTATATGGAGCTTTGGATGGGACTGCGGAAAATGAACACAGAACGAGGGAATCTCTCAGGTCAAGAAACCGTAAATTGTGATTCTATTTTAAATTTTCATATTATAATCCTTTATATTATATTTTCATATACATGTAGAGATCTTTTTAAAAAGCTTGACATACTACCAATCCCATGCGTATATTTGCATTCACTGATGACATTTGTTGTTAATAATTTGGATAAGTTTCCAACAAAATCTCTGTATATGTGATTTGTACCAGAAGGAATGACCACCTTCATATACCTTCAACACATTTATCATCCTATCAGAGAGGGGTGTATTATTCAGGCGTCAAGCTATTTAACACTCTGCCGTCAAATATCACAGTTTTAAAAAATAATGAAAAGTAATTTAGGTTTGTTTTACAAAATTATTTGCAAAGTAACGTATTTTACTCTATTGATGAATTTGTCGAGCATGCAAGGGGCTCAAAAGTTAAGAGTTAATAAATGGTCTGTGTGCGTGAATTATATATTGTTGAGACTTGCTTGTTGTAAGTGTAGCAGTATGTATGATGTCTGTTTTTCTTATGAATTTTAATATTTTATAATGTAACTGTATTAATGATACGGCTTGCCAGTGTGTGTAGAATGGTAAGGCGTGAATTTGACAGTGGTTTTTCCATGACCCATGTGTGTTGTCCTGGCAACTTGAGCTATTTGTGAGAGGCCTGATTATATATTTTATTGGGCAAAGGATGAATGATGTGTAGTCATCATGAATTTGTAATATGTGATATGTCTTATATCCAGCCCTACGGGGAGATAATTGGACCCATGAAGTGAAAATAAATGGAAATGGAAATTTTACAAGTATCCTTTCTGATAAAGGGGTTGATATCATCTAAAGAGTATTATGATCCAAAATTGTATATTTGGTTGGTGATGTTTCTCTTTTAATTTTAAGTCCTGCATTTGTAGATTAGATGTCATTAAATTAGAATTGTTAATAAAAATTTATTTATTCTTTTCTCATTTTAGCTGTGAAACACAGGGCATTTGCAGTCCAAAATGAAGCTCCAGAAACAGAGATGTCTCCTCCATACCGGCCAGTGGTAGGAAGTGCTGGGTCTCCAAATAACCCTTTGCAATCACAGACAAATATTTTGCGACCAGGACGGGCACTTATCAACCCTTTTGATCCATCACATGTCACCATTAAACTCACCTCCAACAGACGACGTTGGACTCATATTTTTCCTAAAGGTAATTATTTTTGCTCAGTCTTCACTTGTATTTTATGTAAGCTGTAACTCTGTTAAGCAGTTGTTAAAAACTAATAGGCAAAAACACATATACATGGTGTGTTCAAAAAGCATCGAACCTTTGGTCGGCAGAAATACATTTATTGATTTGGAGGTACAAAACCCTAATCCCCTTCAAAGTAGTCTCCTTGGTAATGCACACACTTCTCCCAGTGCTTCCGCCATTGTTGGAAACACTTCTGGAATGTGTCTTTTGGAATGGTGATCAGCCGGGCCGTCGCATTCCACATGATGTCTTCTCTTGACTCAAATCGGGTTCCTTTCAGCGGCATTTTCAGCTTGGGAAATAGCCAAAAGTCACATGGAGCCATGTCGGGGGAGTAGGGAGCCTGACGAACCACAGTGATGTTTTGTTTGGCGACGAAATTCTGAATCAGATGCGCAGAATGGGCGGGTGCATTGTCATAATGGAGCTGCCAAGTTTTTGCTGCCCACAGATCTGGTCGTTTGCACCGCACAGCATCACGAAGGCGACGAAGGACCTCCTGGTAGTATTCATTTGTGATGGTTTGGCCTTGTGGTGCGTACTCATGATGCATAGAATCGAAGAAAACGGCCAACGTGACCACATTTCTGTGGACCTGCCGTCCTTTTTTTGGCCTCAGGGATGTTGGATGTTTCCACTGTGACGACTGCATCTTGGTTTCCAGGTTGTACCCATAAACCCACGACTCATCGCCTGTGATCATGGTGTTCAGAAAGTTGGGGTTACTGTTTGCATTGTCCAGCATGTCCTGTGCGATTTCCAGACAGCGTTGCTTCTGCTCCATTGTTAGCAGTTTCGGTATGAATTTCGTGGACACTCTCCTCTTGCCCAAATCCTCGGTCAAAATTGAATGTACTGATCCAATGCTTACCCCTATCTCGTTCGCAAGTTCTCGGGCTGTGATACGACGATCCTCCATGACCAAAGTCTGCACTTGCTCAATGACATTCTCATTTCGGCTTGTTGAGGGTCTGCCTGAACGCAGTTCGCTGACCACTGATGTGCAGCCATCTTTGAAGTGGTTGTACCACTCCTTTATCCGTGAGTTGCTCATGGCATCGTCCCTGAAAGCCTGTTGAATCTTGCAAGTGGTTTCCACTTGGGTATCGCCAAGCTTTTGGCAAAATTTGATGCAATATCGCTGCTCATGTTGTTCCGTCCTTTTACACCTTATTGGAATCCGACGAGCGCTCACTACACGTCCTCACTCATAGGCTGACTGCCAGCGACTGACGCTTTCTGCAGGCGGGAAAAAATTCATGACTGCGCATGACTGTCCCCTCCACATCTCCACTGAAGGGAGCCTCCCGTGCTTCATTGGTTTACGTGGGAAAAAAGAAGGTTCGATAATTTTTGAACACACCATGTAGATAGGTGCACATGGACCTGATGATACTAAAATTCTCTTTCTTCATAAAATAAGAAAATGTTGACTGAAAGATTTCCCAAATGTCACCAAGCCTTGTAGGCCATAGCTAATCTTATTGACTGATCAAATTTGCAGTAGATATAATTAGTAGCTATATTACACGTATAGAGAATCTGTTGCACAAAATCATTACCTTGTTGTAGGACCCACCGGGGTGCTTATCCAGCAGCACCATTATCAGGCTGTTCCAGCAGTGTCAAATCCAGATCAACATGTATATGAGGCTGGATCTGCATACAGCACATCACCAGGCAATGACAACTCTGTCCCAGCTGGCTCACTACCAAAATCAGCATCTCAGATTACATTTCATGACAGTGAGTATTTTATATCTTTCATTTTTAAATATCAGAACTGAAATGCCAGAAAATTCACTCTACATCGACATTTGTTGTCAGACGAATGTATATAAACCTTATTAAACTTCTAGTAGCTGATTATATTGAAAACAAATGGCTTTTATCCCCATCTTACACCTATATGCCATGTTACCATCCCATATAATATGTTGGTAATGGTGCACACTTTGATCATCTTTTGCCTGAATAATTGTGAAGGTGTTTTATATGGTGATATTTACTTGCTAAATTTACACTCTTTCATAGCCAAAAATTTGTGTCTGAAGGCTGAGTTGCCATACTTTTCAGAGCATAATTTTACACATTAGTTTGTTATGAAAATTGTGGCTGCATAATATTGATAAGAAGAAGAGTTGCCTGAAAAAAAGGCATGATTTAAATTTCTGCTTAATTTATGAACATATTTATGAACTTGGCTGTGAAACTATTTTATATTCCCCCATATGTGACACATTTATAAGCTGTTACATATTATTGCAAATTTAACTTAAATCAATAGAAATGAAAAGGTTCCTTGACCTTACTGAATATAGTAAAGCAATCAAAATGCAACAATCTTAATAGCAAATTGTACTAATGATAATAGGCTATTTATAAGATAGGTTCCCTTCCTCCATCTGCTTTCAATTTCATGTAAGTGTAGTGTGTGGTGAGGAAGGGTCATTTTGTCTGAGCACAAGTAAATAAAGAAGCAGTGTAATGAAAGGCAAAAGGGTATTTATTCTGTCCAACAATAGCAGCTGTTCCAAATCTGAATTAAGGGGTGGATTGAAAAGTGGAGTTTACCTGCAGCAGTACCTCTATATTTTTTGTCACCAGTGTATCTTTCTTTTTGGAGATGGGGGGCTTTGAGCTATTTACAGTTGATGAAATGTATGCTGATGAAGATATGTCCTTTTTGTACTACTGGGAGAGGTTTAGAAAAAAGACTAAAGGATGGCAAAAATGCTACCACAATAACAGGCAGTGTGCAACAGTCTTTATCCCACAAGCATGTGGGACTTGTCTGGCCATGCCCTAAGCCAGCTATTTTCAACTGGTGTGTCGCAAAGGATCTGCATGTGTGCCACAGGAGTTTGAGGGAAGGTTTAAAGAAGCAAGAAAAAATTTATAAATAAAAAATCATCAAAATCCATGATCAAATTATTTTTAAAAATAGCACAATGATTAGAATTCTACACACTCTATTACTCGTTTTTTTAATGATAAAATTTCTCCTTAAAAATTATGGTTTCTTTGACAATTGTTAGCACCTTGTTTGGTTTGCTGGGATTTGAAGAAGATTGAAAAAAATTGCCCTAAGCTTTACTTGGGCAGAAGTGCACCATGCTCACACATTTCTCTTAAATGGAAAAATGCTTTATCCAGAAAGAAAATGTTGTCTGACACTCAAGTATACTTACGAATGGGATTTGATGAAGACACCACATCACACTGAGTTATTGCACACAGAACATAAGATGCCTGTCTGCTTCCATGGTTGTAAAGGTCAACCACTTTTGCCACTGCTGATGTTCTGAGTTGTTTTGTGCCTACCCAGTGATAACTTAGGTCTCACAGGTGTAGCACACATAGGGTGCAGTTAGGGTTGTGTGATGCAGTGAACACCCAACATAATTATTATGGTTACTATTGTTCCCAGATTTTAGAAGAGATAGTACTGTTGTTGTAACAGGTACTTTCATAATTTCAAGAAGCGCCTAATACTAGCAAGTTTGTGCAATAGGTAAGTAGGCTTTATGAGCGCCCCCCATAATTCCTTATACCTTACGTGCATTCTAAACCATATTATATGTTGGGACTACTAAGAGTCTAGTATCAGAAAGAGCTCAGTCACTTAACTAAAATATATTTATCACTGAGAATAAAGTGAAAAGTTACAGCACGTAGACAGGAACACATTTTTGTGATGGTGGTCACAAGGAAACATTGTGGAGAACAGAATTATCCTTTGCTGATCCTGGGTATGTTGGGAGGAAATCTAGCTTCTGTGCCTAGCACTTTGACTACATGTTACATGTTATAATTGAAATTATTTTTCTTTAGATCAAGCAAAAACAAGTCATTTTATGAGACTGGAAATTCTCACTGCGGTAAATTTTAAGATTGTGGCCTTCAGGATGTGAGGCCATGTGGCTTTATAGGTAGGTAACAATATTTCCAAGGAGCCTGCTGTCTCCATCTTTAGCGTAGACTCTTCTACCATGAAGGGAGGAGCAAATTTCTCTGAAACATTGATATTATCAATCTGCTTGCTACTTGCTTCATGCTGGTTTCTTGCTTGGCGTATTCTTCAGCCCAGAAGATGGAAACAACATGTTCTTCTGAAATGTTAATTGACTTTTAACAGACTACATGGCATTTTATCCCAGAAGATAGAACTCTTCTTAACTACCACTGTGATGAGAACCTCAAATTCTATCATTCATTGCTATCTGAAACTGCATTTCTGCATAGGCCATTAGATTGCACCCATTGGTTTGGAACTGTAATGTACTTGCATATAGGTCATGTAAATTGTTCAGTTTGCTATCATCAGAATTCATCACCTTTAGAACATACAGCAAATGGTTAAAGCAGAAATATTTCTTTTAATAAATTATAGATGCTGTTGCATTTCCACATGAGACAGATTTGCTGTAGTGTCCTGTAGTGTGTATTATTATATTTCGGCTGTGTCATGTTTTAATTGTTCGTATTACAGATATCAAGAATCGATCCTCAGGACGTCCAGGTGTTCTGCCTTCAGTACCTGGTGAAAAAACAGTTCAAACCAATAAAAGTTTAACTTTACTGTGGGGTGCTACTGGTGAACAAGAATGGACTCCTGCACTCACTACAGGTGGGTTTAATAAGAGATAGTGTAATATGTGCATTAATACAGAGGGATTCAGTCACGGAAGAGGTTGGTGTGGACATAACGCTGTAGTCTTATTCAGGAGGTGCTTGTACTAAATCTCAACCAGGTCATTGGCTATCCTGACTGAGTTTTTCCGTGGTTTTCTTCAGTCCTTTCAGAAAATGCCAGGATAGTACCTTGTCTAGGCCATGGCCACTTCCTTCCAAATTCTTTTCAATTTATCAGTCATCCTGCCATCTAACATTGTATGGTCCCAGTTCCAAAAGCACTGTTAAATTACTTACAAAAAATTCAAAATTTTATGGTCACTGTTTAGGAGAATTGGGGAAGTAATTTTGGGCAGAAAATATAAGTAAATTGTTGTTTGATTCATTACTCTTGTCAAGTTGTGATGCTTCATTCATTTTTAATTAATTAAGCAATTTTTTATTTGGATGTACATTTGGTTATTTACGTTTAACATGCTTATTTATCATTTTTAATTACAGTGAATAAGAAGCAAATATGCAGTGTTATTAGTTCTTCTCAGTTTGAATTTTGCACTATGTACGACACAAGGGTCTGATCATGTAGTAGGGACTTGTACAGAGTTCTGGATATATTTTCACAAAAACTGATCAGAGTTATGTCCTCCTGCTCACATTTACACTTAACAATAGTGCTGAATGGATTCTGTCAAAAACTACTTGTCAAGGTTGGCCTCCATTGTCTGTTTCTGCTGCCATGATGTGATTGATCAGGGTATCATGCTCTTATACTTTCATGGAAAAAACATTTTCTTTATTGTATCTCCATAAGAAGCAGTCTCATGAGTTCAGATCAGGGGAGTGTGGAGGCCAGATTGTACCTGCATTGCTGATCCATGTGTTGGAAAAATGGCTGTTTGACCACTTATGCATGAAAAATGGCTGTTTTACCACTTATGCATGAAAAATGGTTGGATGCACCATCGATATGGAGCCAGATGCCCTTATAAATACTAAGAGATTCATCCTCATAAAAGAGTAGAAGCATTCTTTTAAGGAAATCATATTGCTGAATTCAACCAAGACAATTTGCTGTCACAAGTGGTCATTTGATAATCTATGATTCTGGCCCAAAAGTTGGTACTAAATTTTTGTTGAAACGAAGCACATAAGGTAAAATGAGAATTCTTCATTGCCCATTCATGTATGTTTTCAAGATTGTGTACCCCATTTCTGGTTAATTTTTCCTCAACTGTTCAAAATATAAATATTGCTGAAACTTTTTGAAGATCTCTCATACATTATTATTATTATTATTATTAGAGGGGGTGGGTTTCACCATGCACTTAGACCAGTTATTATCTCTTGTACATAATCATGTTGATAAATTTGGAAGTATAACAGCACTGAATAACTGAATATTGTCATGCATAAATGATTGTATAAGGTATTAATAAATCTATTCACCAATCAAAACCCTGTCTGTAGTCACTAAAGCATGTGATGATATTTTTACTTGGAATACTACAAAGGTGATATTGGAAATATCATCTGTATGGTACTAGGCATCAAATAAATATTACAGCCCTGTGATCTAGGGTTGGATTGTTTTTGTATGTATGACTGACTTCCAAGTATTTTGTCCTTGTGTTTTCTTTCCCTTGGAGCACAGTTTCTTGACACTGTGTAATAATAAAATTATGTTAGGTCTCATATTACTGCTGAAGCACATAACATACATAAATATACCATTTGACTCTTACAAGCAAGTCTTCATATGCCAGGAGAAGCTACAACTGTTCCTGATTAAAATAATCAATGTAATGTACTCTGCTTTGTGAGTAGGAGCAGTTAGAGATTGGTAGACATAAATTAACAAATGGTGAATGTGCACAGATCACTCTTTACGTAATCATTTTCCACAGAAAAATACAGTGTAATGGTTTTAGCAAGATAAATAGTTGCCTGATGATGGGTGGGGATGGCTGAAACATGTACCAAAGAGGAGTAAATGAAAAATTAAGTTGCATTTGAGACGAATTATATGCGTGTATAAATGTAAAGTATGTATCCAAAGTTCACAGAATGTAAAGCTAAAAGTAATGCTGATGCCCTGTTCCTTAAAAGCTATCAAAGTAATTGGTTCATTTGATAAAAATGCATATTTTTAACTATGCTAATGTACACCTTTCATAGAGATTTTGTTCACACTAAATCAGTCATTAACTTGATCTAACTGTATACCCGTTTAAGTGTCTCTTGGTTTATTTAATGATGCTTTTAATTATTAAGTTTCTAAATAGCTTTGAATTATAAGATGATCAGTGATGACTGATCTAGCAAGGATATGGAAGGAAGCAGTCATGGCTTAAGTTAATGTAGTCTTGCTACATTTGTCTGGAGGGACTGAGGAAACCACGAAAAACCTCAGTCAGAATATCTGGACTCCAGGTTAGGACTTGAACATGATTGATTGATTGATTGATTGATTTATTTAACATCCATAACTGTTAACATTATGTACAATTGGACAAGTCAGTTTTTTAAAAAAAAATATATGAGATTAAACTTCACATCAAATGACTAATAATATAAAAAACCATAGAAAAATAACATAATAAATCCTTTAAATATGATAAAACAGTGAGACCTCTCAAATATAAAACAGAAGTGCTAACATCTCAACCATGACATTTTGTTGCTAGAAACAATACTTTTGCCAATTCTAATTATCTTTTGTCTCTCTCACCCCATGTCCATGTCTCAGTTTTGTTTTCTGCTTTGGTTTAACTGATATTTTGTAGAGTATTGTGTACCTTATATGCATTTGAATATTCATTAGTTAAATCTTCTGTAAATTATTGCACTTGCCTTCTATTTTCCAAATTTCTCTTCCCTACATATTTAGATTTATGTATGTGTTCTATTGGTTTATGAAATTAATTTATTTAAAAGATTCGCTGTCGCATTCTTGAGTAATGTATCGTGCCTCACTTCCCACTTGCCTTTGGATGATCATTGCTGCTTATAAAATTAGCTGCACTTCTCCTTTTTCATGGCAATATATTTCTCTTTTGTCTTGGCATTATCTATTAATTCCACCACTTGTTTCCACTATCTTTTTCTGAATTTCAGTTTTGCATATATCACTATATTATAATTGATAATTGTTCTGGACTTCACATTTAGTATTAATGATGAAATATGCTGAATATGATGCATTTTAGTGAGTGCCCTATCATTTGTTACTTATATGTCACTCGCATAGTGAAGAAGTTTTCAGCTAAGTTTGCTGAGTAAGGGGTACCATTTTGTGAGTGCTCAGTTGATATGAATATAATGTAACCATGTGAGTACAGCCTATAATCTAGGCCGTGCCATAGCTCAAGCGGTTAGTTGCTGGCTTCCCACCACAGCAGCCCGGGTTCGATCCTGGGTCTGGTGAAGTAGGATGTGTGGTGGACAAAGTGGCGCTGGGGCGGGTTCTCTCTGAGTACTTTGGTTTCCCCTGCCAATTTTTATTCCACCAAATTCTCCATCTTCATAATCACCCGGGGCAAGCTACCATAGGTCAATCAGTGGCCGCCGTGCCAAGTGGACCCAGTTGGACTCCACCCCTCACTAAGCGAAACAGTCTGTAATCTATGTCAGCTTCATTTTTGTGAGAAAATATAAATGGATCTTCACTTTTTTAATGTAACATATATGGGAAGGTTGTGGACAAAATGAGGTCCTATTCCTATCCCTAGCACCTTCATCATGATGAATGATTCCTAATTGTAACTTTCGCTATGACTATACATATAGTTTTGCTTTCGTAGTTGTTTATTGCATTCAGGTCTGGATATATACTCTGCCCTCTGACATGTAAGGGAAGAAAATCTATCTTCTTGAGTCTAAGAGTGACCAGCTTACAGATTTCAGCAAATCAGAAATAGTTGTCACATGACATCCTCTGAACTTTCTGCTGATACCTGTAGCTTGTTTCATTGTGAACTGTGTCACTTGTGTACTTAGTGAATGTTCAGTATTTCTTTATGACTGTGCTTCATATTTTTAAAGTAAAAATAGTTTAACCCCTATTTATAGTGAGACAAAAATGCTGAGATTTGAATATGCATGAATCTCGAAGGTTTGTCTTTGTGGAGTCAGTTGTTTGTGAAAGTGCAGAATAGGGGGATGGTATGGATTTACGTCTTCAAAAGTTTTCATTATTTTGAGGACTAAAGACAGTTTATGATCATCTGTTCTGTTTGATGGGTGTCCAGTGACACAGAAACAAATAAAAAATATAGAGAATGGAAATTCTGTGTTTTAATAGTAATTTTGCTAGGTAAAATAGTCTGATGTACTGCTTGATGGAACAACAATGAACGCCACCCCCATCTGTTTTGTGGTGCACTTAAAGATGAAGAACTTTCAGCATTCCAAAGGGTGGCTTTATTGTTTCAAAAAGTAAAAAATAAAGAGGCATTAGTATCCATGAAGTTTTGGGTGATCCGGCTTGTTTAGAACCACCCTGTAACCACAGCTTGCCTACTATTACTGCTCCATGGGTTACATTTGTCAAGCAAGTTCAATATAAGTCTTCGCATGTTTTCTTACACATGTATTCATGTGGAGTCAGTTGCTTATAGAATATGGGTGGGACATGTGGGTGGGAAACAAACTGTGGGTTGAATGTGGATGGGACTTGCAGGCGTGCAGGAAGTAGCAGATGAGACTGTTGCTTGTATACAGTGGCATCTAATAAATCCACGTATAAGAAGTTACATAAACTTGAGAAAATCCTTGGCTTCTCAGTTCAGATAATACTAAAGGCATTGAGAATGTTGAATTAATCTCTATTATTTTTACATCTCAGTGATAACCACTTTTAAAAAGAATAATATTGCTGTATTTACATCAATTTTTTTTTAAACTTAGTACTGTATCATGAAATACATATATAGAAGCTAAGAGATGGACTTGAAGATCATGTATTTCACCCATTTTGGGGTATTATGAATATATGTTAAGATGAAAGTTTTTATAAATTTTTGTTAACTTCTCATTCTGTTGACATTGCACTGTATGTGACTTTATACAGGTCCAAGGGTGGAGTGCTGTATGGATCAGTATAGACAAGACAGGGCCGAGGAAACAAAAATGGCTTTATAATACTGTTGCTTATGAAAGCAATGTAAGAATGGTTTCTGAATAATCATGATCACTGAATAGTTTCTTTGCCTTGTAAGTAAATTTCAAATACATGGCCTGCTTGTAATGAAATCTCAAGGGTCCTTATTATTTTTACAGTTCACATGGGTTCCTTTTTGACACAGGTAGTACTTTTACTCTTAGATCAAAAATATTGCATAGTACATGCACTATAACTAAATCACAAGTCAGAAAATCCTGCTGCATATATTTTACACTATTAATGAACAGAATGCATTTCCAGTTTTCTTGCTTTTTCATATCTTCATGTTTTACCTTCCTCAGCAGCCCATGAAATTATTCTGTGTATGTTTGGTTGATGGTCCTTTTTAATTCTTTATTGTATGTGACAAGAATGTTCCTTCTCAGAAGAACTAAAGGAAAGACAGCAAGGAACGAAATTATATGAACAGAAAACAATAAATATCCAGGCAGAATATTCTCCATAAAATGGTTATTTTTTTATTGCTTCTAGGCTGCAACTGTGGTTTATTTTTGGTGTTGATTCTGCTGTTGGGTCTTTGCACTCTGTGGGTGTGAGTACTGTTGCTGACATTTTGGATGTACATGCTGCCTTTGTCTTCTGGGTAGAAGTTAGTATAGTGAATGAGTGTCTATGTATGTAGGATTTTAGTCCAGCAAATCCATAGGAGAAATGGTGGGGGCTAGTGCCCAGTCCAGGCCACTAGGTACAGTGGGCAGGGAACCATTATCAAAAATGTCTGTTTGAAGTGCACCAAAATACCATTCTCAGCTGGTGTTCCCAAATGGTCACCCGTATAGGAGCTCACCCAGCACAGTGTTTCTTAGCCTCCGCAGCTGTGGGTTGAGCGGTGGAAGGTGGCGGTNATTTTGTAGCTTCTATATAACTCTCTTGGTGTAGTGAGGCAGCTTTACTAATGCCATTGTGTCCTTGCTTCATTGAATGTTTTCTTACTTTTAAGAATTCTGGATGATAGAGCTGGAGGTCTGTCTGATACTCTTTCACATGTTCTTCAGCCTTATGACTGGTCCCGTTAATTTAGGTGGTCCTGCATTCACGTGAGCTCTTGTAGGCTTCAGGAACTTGTAGATCCAGACTATCCTTGACTGTTGTGAGAAAACCACATGTTTTGTGCTGTGGTAAATATATCGGTTTTATGTTGTGTTACTCCAATACTGCTAACACAGTTGGATAAGTTCTAGAAATGTTGTGCATGTAGGTTTCTGCTTCTTGTCAGTCTCCTTGATCTTTCCTTGGGTGAGAGTGCTCTGAGATCTACCTGGGAGTATGAACATGCTCCTTGAAATTTCTTCTGAGGTGAGCTAGTTTGACCTCTCACTTGGCTTTGTCCAAGATTTTGTTTGACCTGGTGTATTAAAGTTGAGAGGGCATTCAACTTCTGGGCTGGCTGGTGGTGTGAATGCCTCCCCACAATTTGTGCTAACATTTCCCTGATCCCTGTCCTTGTTGCCCCAGACAGGGCACCAGCCCAATCTTTCGGCACCACTGGGTCTGCTGGACCAAAATCATATTTTCACATGAGAGGATACATGGATTGGATTGGTAATTGTATTTATTTGATCCTAATAAATCGTAAATACAGATAACTACAAGAGTTTCACTAGTTCCAACATTTTAACACTCACTGTTGCATGCACGGTGTCATCTCAGTCTTCACTAGGTGCTGCTTCACAATGGCTCCTCAGATTCTGTGTTCAGTGGCTTCTGTCCTTGCTGGCTGGTGGCTTGCCTTATGCGGTCAAGTGATACAGCCTCAGGGTGGATCCAACTGATAACACCACTTCCCACTGTTTCTGTATTGTTTATCTGTCTCTTGTGGTGATTATATGATTTGGTTGCTGTGGGAACATGTTTACAGATCCATTCCCTAGCAACAGCTGTCTGCTGGCTTCACAATTCTGGCTTTCAGTGAACAAAATGCCACAATATATATAAATGAACGTTCACTCAGCCTTCTCAGTTTGAGAATGGTTGCAGCATGTAACTCCAAAAGTTAAGCAGCACTGCCCACATCCACATACTGCAAAGATCTAAAAGCAGAATCAACATTGACCAATGGTTTTCTTTCTGTTCCTTTTTATTATGAGTAATATTATATTTGTTTCTGTATTTGTGAAAACAAATACATTTTGTGATAAAAACTGGTTTTTGTTTAATCCACATTTTGTTTTAACCAGATTTTATATAATACCTGATTATGTTGAGAGGCATATCAACATATTTTTAGGTGATAGAGTGTTGGTGTGTAATGGAATTTTGTGGCATATTGAAAACTATTTTCTTGTCTTAAAGAACATCTGTTTCCCAGCTGACATTGCTTTCTCTCTGCGTAAGTTTTATTTATCAGCTAATTCTTATTTTTCTTGTTTTTCTGGTGTTTCAGTATCATGACAGATTTTGTGGGAATTTATTTTAGTCTTAAAAGACATTATGATAAAATTGACAGGCACTGGTAATAACTGTATAATAATAATCCCCATTATACTTTTAATATTGATTCTGTAAAGGTTGATTTTTACACCACAGTTATGTTGTACATTGTCCACTGCTTGAGGTGTATTTAACAGATCTAACACTTTGGACTTTATTCTACTTCTGTCTTCTGCTGAATGTTTGTTATTGCATTGACACTATTTTTACTTACTTTGTTTTCAGTATTAGTGGAAATGGAGTGGATTAAATCTGGAACCTTACGATTATTGTCCTGATGTAGTATAGAAGTATGTAAGGCTGATATAAAAATGTTTGAGGTCCAATCCTGACCACTTTCATTAATCTCTAAAGTGAAATAAACAGCAATAGTAATTTTGTAGTAATACACTGTGAATAACAAATATTTTCCAACATAATAATACTTATTTTTTATTGTACAATTTCTTAGCCTGTTTTTTCCTTTACATAGCTCTTTTATGTAATTTGCATCATTGCAGTAATGTCTTGTATTTTAATTACTAGGTGTTTTTTTAATTTTTATATTAAAAACTTTTCATTGTTTCTTTTTTCTTTGTACTGAGGTCTTATGGGCAGAATATTACTATGTTTATAGTGGGAAATATGGCAAGAAAAACTTACCTTTTAAATCACCGAGAGTTGTATAGCAGAGGGCAAGCATCAACATGCTACAGTATATATGTCTTTGTGTTAATTGTGTCCATATGTACAGAAGGCATACATTGTATTATGTTATCTTACTATAATTATGTGCTAGCTTTTTGAGCCTAATGAGTGTAATTTTTCTGTTTTCCTTTTCATGTCTCTCTGTGGGGCGTGTGATCTCGTGCAATCAATCAGTCGGCAAAGTTATCATAGGTTTGGAATTGTATTTCAAAATCTGCTGTAGTAGGATATAGAGTAGATCAGCACTTTTCAAACTGTGGGTCACGATCCACCACAGTAACATTCAAAACATGGAGAAGTTGATATTAATCTGTAGCAAATAATTGTTTTCTTTTTGTATTAGTAAAGTTGCTTCTTGTTAGGGTTTCTGAATTTGTCCTCTTCATATAATACTTGAAATATGCTCCTATTAATATATACATTTATATTACTTTCATTTTGCACAGAACTGAAGTTCAAGGTTTTCGTGGTTTTCCTCAGTCTCTCCAGATGAATACTGAGGAGATAGTACTATGCAGTAGTCCATGTCTGTTTCCAAATTCTTACCTGCCCATCTCTTCATCATGCCATCCGACACTATGCAAGTTCTGCAGTTGGAAGAATGTTGTTAAACAACTGAAGAAGGGCAGATATAGTAACATGCTAGGTGGCTGAACCTATCACACACCTCAAAGATGAGGTGAGGTGAGACCTGTTGGAATGATGGTTTACAAGGAGAACTGAACTTCTATGAGAGAAACCTGTCCCATTACCACTTTTACCATCATGAATCTCACATGGACTGTCTTCGATTGCCTTTTGGTGAGAAAATGATGACTAACCACCTGACCTGATGTTATAATGTTGCATCATTTTAATTTTCTGTTTAAAATTCATGACATCAGGTGCACAACCGTTTGAAACTATTGGGTATGTATAATTTATTTATGTGTGCAGGAAAGAGAGTCATTTTTGACTATTTTGTATGATTCTTGAAAATATCTGATGGTCTCATGTGAAAATGCTGGCCCAGATTGCTTTCTCTTTGGTCTGCTAGAAGTCTGTAATCTTTGTGGACCTTGGCTCCCCTCCACCACTGCTGTATACTGTGTTAGAATAAGACATAGATTATAACAAATTTTTGTCCTCTATATTCATCCCTCATTTCATTTTCAGTTCTATTACCTTGTAGCAGAAATGCAGAACAAAACTTCTTTAAAGAGAGAGGGTGACTAAAGCTTTTGAAAACCAGTATAATTTCAGTTCTGGGTGATTGATAAAGATTGACACAGATCTGTTCCAGAAACAGATATTTATCCCTCCACTAAGTATCATAATGAGCAGCTTTAAAAGACAAATATAAATTTGCTGAATTTGTACTATATATATATATATATATATATATATATATATATATATATTGCTGGAGCAACTGACAAGGCTCTGGAAATACACTCACCCACTTGACACAGCTGATCAATGTTGAGTATAGTTTTAGTCTTGGTTTAAATATGTGGACCAGTGAATTTTTTTAAGTGGCTGGTCAGTTTAGTTGTGCAGTAAAACCTGTCTTAGAATAGAAAACAGGATTAAATGGAAACCTGCTTTTCGATAAAGTAATTTTCTTCAGTATTGCACTTGCTGGAATATATCTGAGAAGGAATGTTCATGTCACATGTGGGAAGAGATTAATCCTGACACAGTTATTGTGTTTCTGGAGATTATCCATCATCCTATTTTTATTTAGAACACTGTGTTTTGGAGACTGGATTCTGTGTCCAGCTTCATGTGGAACTGATTAAGATGGGCCCCAATTAATAGAGCTAATCCCTATCTCTGGACCCCAATACCAACACAAGATAGGATATATAAACCAAGCACAGCCCAAAAAATCTGTGAGAGTTAAGAGAAACATTAAAAACATTAAAAAACTCCCCACAGTGAGGCCTCGCACCTATGTCCATGCACTTTTTCATGGCTATTGTTAAAATTGGAATACTACTGGAATAGAAGTTGTCACTAAAGAGACAAATTCTTTGTAAGGTATCAACATAAAAAACACAGTTTTCGTGTATAATCTACACTGGATGGAGTTGAAGTATTCTGTCTTCTGCTGCAATAATGGGAGTCCAGGTGGGAGAGAGGTCCATGTTGTTTTGACTGATCGAATGATCTACCAGAGACATGTAGTGTCCAGGTCTTTTGACAGTCCTTTTTAAGCAGGTTTTACTGTATTTCTGGAGCGCTGTCATCTGGTAGGCAATATGAAATTTTGACTGAAAAGGCATTCGTGACCCAAGAGATTTGAAACTATCAGCTGTTATCTAATACTTTCTCTCCTCTTTCACTTTATAGTTCTGGGTGCTTTTAATTTTATTTTGCATGTTGCATATGGAGATGGTACGAGGCAGAAGAGTTTGTTTTGCATTATTCAACTTGCATATTTCTTCACAAAGCTGCTGTTTTTCTTGCAATCTTTCACATGAACAAGTAGATTTTTATTTAGATCATTAAGCAGATTTCATGTACTGGTACAGGACGTGTATGCCAGACATGAGGGAGTGAGAGCGTGTGTGTGTGTGTGTGTGCGCGCGTGCATGCTTCGTTGAGTTCATGTTGACAGCGTAGTTTTGCTGGTAGCATATAGCTGAAATATAATTGAATGCAATTTTTCTCTCTCATAGGAAAAACTGTTTTATGTAGAATATGTTGACAATCAATTACAATATACCATAGATTATGTATGCTAATAAAACGGGAGATAAGTTATGAATAATTGAAGACATTTATAGTCCTGAACTATTGTATTTTCATTTTATACTCATTGCATCACAAGTTCACAGTAATGAGGCAATCGTAATTGGTAACAGCTGTAAATCTATAGTGTCTTGGTGGGGGAAGATAGATTCTGCCTTCACCTTCATCCCTTAATGTCATGCTTCCACTGACTACAGATTGTAGAATATGGATACCATGAAACAGAATTGTGGAAACACATAATGGGAACGATAGATGAAAACTTGTTTCACATATTTCTGTATATACATCACACAGTTTTATGAAACATCAATGTATTCTTCAGATACTGGATAGTGAGAGGAAACAAACAGTTCACTCTTGGATAATTCTGAGTATACTGTGTGTGTACATGTGTAAGATGTAGAGACATGTGTTAAGGAGTGTCAGAATGAAGATTAAATTTAATTAATGCAATAGTAAGATATTTGTGAAAAGGGAAATGAAATTGAGAAGAGTATAATAAAATGAAGCAGGAAAGGATCAGATTTCTGAACTAAAATTAGTATTGTCAATTTGTAATTACATTTTTACTTTCATGTATATTCCTGAGAGACGAGTACATTTGTATTCTTTTCCTTACTTTTTCATTTTAGTTATTTTCTGTCCTCTGTATTATAGATTCTGAATCATGAACAGACATTTCTCCTTCCATGCTTCTAGACTGTGTCATTGGCTTATGCAGCAGTAAGATACTGTCTTGACACTGTAATTACAAAATAACTGTAGAAAGAACTTTTTTTTTGTATATGTGCCTCAAAAATGCTTTCATCCACATGGTGAGACCAGCAAAATGTGGAAATTAATGATTGTACATTGTCATGATATATCACTGTGAAAATGTTGGCTACAGTAAATTTCAACCAAAGACCAGAAAGTTGTTGGATAAAATCTCGAATTTTTATGTGCTCTACAGCTAGTCATTAACATAAAGAACATACTATATTTATTTGTATATTTATATATAAAACATCAGTAGAAAATTTATTGAATTATTGTGCTATAGACAATTTTTTTAAATTGTTTAGGATATTGAGGTTGTTTCCCACAAATTATTGGAATTAAAATTACATAATATAAGAACTGAACAGAATTAAATATTAATTTTAGAGTAAATAACATTGGCTGTGAACATAGTACATATCACCTATCCATTGTTGTGTATTAGTCACTCTGTCATAGTATTTTCAGCATTAATTTTTTAAGCTTTAGCTTTATTTTGCCTTGAATCATAATTATATAGTCACACTTACTTGAAGGCAAATTTAAAATGATGTGTGTAATAGGTATATAAGAAAGATACTTGATGTTTAGGTGTGGACTGGAAGTCTCTCACCATCCCAGCTTGTCTGCCCATCACCACAGATTACTTCCCTGACAAACGCAGTCTTCAGAATGATTATGTAGTCTCTGACTACAATCTTCTTCCCGATGATGTGAATGCAGATTTTGCTCAGCAGAGGGCAATCTACAAGAAACCTTTAACCACTGTTGAAGTGTTTAAAGAACTAGTTTCACAGAGACTTGCTCAGGTTAGTTGTAACCTGCTAATGAATCATATACCACAAATTATTAATAGTAGCCTGGCTGCTGTTTAAAGTATCTGTAGCAGAGCTTGGCAACAGTCTGAGCTCAGGCTTTGTTGAAGATCCGGATCTTAGTCAAATATTTATGGTACACCTGCATTTAGGAATAGATTGCAACCGAATGCAACAAGTCACTCTCATGGAGTTGAACCCTTCTTGAGAAGCTGTCAATTGTGCAGATCCTCAAGAACTTTTCAGCATTTTATGGAACTCGAAGGTTCATTACCGTGTTCACAAGAGCCCTCCACTGGTCCCTATCCTGAGCGAGATGAATCAAATCCATATCATCCCATCCTGTCCCTCTCAGATCCATCTTAATATTGTCCACCTACCTACATCTTGGTCTTCCCTATGGTCTCTTTCCTTCTGGCTTTCCCACCAATATCCTATACGCATTTCTCATCTCCCCCATTCGTGCTACATGCCCTGCCCACCTCATCCTCCTTGACTTGATCATTCTGATTATACTTTGAGAAGAGGACAAGTTATGAAACTCCTCGTTATGCAGTTTTCTCCAACACCCTGTTCTCAAACACCCTCAGTCTATGTTCCTCCCTTAATGTCAGAGACCAAGTTTCACACCCATACAGAACTACAGGCAAAATTATAGTTTTGTATATTCTAATTTTTATGTTTTTGGACAACAGACGGAAAGACAAAAGGTTCTGGACTGAATGGTAGCAAGCATTACCTGAGTTCAATCTCCTCTTAATTTCCTCTGGATCAGGTTTTGATTTGCTATAGTCATTCCCAAACATCTGAACTGTGCCACATTTTCACAACATCTGTTACCTATCTTTATGTCCCAATTTTGCCCAGCATTTTGATGACAAGATAGACATCATACACTTAGTTTTTCTGTGTTTACTTTAAGACCAACCTCCTAATGCAACAAGTATTGCTTATAACTTCATTATGACAAAAAGAACAATTGACTGTTGATTTGTTAGAATACCATATAATGGACAAGGTCCAAAAACTTGGTAATCCCAAGCTTTGCTCACCATAGTCAGAACTCTTTAGAATCAGCAAGAACAAACTGGTTACACAGTCATTTTTAAATATATTTCTTTTAATATTTAATTTAATATATATTTCTTTTAATGCCCGATCAGTGGAAGGAGTCTATTATTGTACCAGTGCACAAGAAGGCTGATAAAACTGACTGTAGTAATTATCGGGGGATATCACTGCTATCAACTTCATATAAAATTTTGTCCAATATTCTTCTTTCAAGGTTAAGTCCATATATAGATGAAATTATTGGGGATCATCAGTGTGGGTTTCGANATTGTACAATATTCTAATAGAATTTGGCATACCCATGATACTAGTTAGGTCGATTAAAATGTGTTTAAACAAAATGTATAGTGTTAGGGCGATTAAAGTGTGTTTAAACGAAATATATAGTAAAGTCTGTGTAGGTAAACTTTTGTCTGATAAATTTCCTATCCAGAATGGTCTAAAACAAGGTGATGCTTTTTCACCACTCCTTTTCAACTTTGCCTTAGAATATGCAATTAGGAAGGTCCAGGGAAACCAGGTGGGACTGAAATTAAATGGGACACAATAGCTGTTGCTCTACGCTGATGATGTGAATCTACTGGGTGATAATGTAGATACCATAAAGAAAAACACACAAACTTTAATTGACACAAGTAAAGAGGTTGGTCTAGAAGTAAATGCAGAGAAAACTAAGTATATGTTACTGTCTCATCACCAAAATGCAGAGCAAAATCATGACATAAAAATAGGAAATAGATGTTTTGAAAATGTGTCACAGTTCAGATATTTGGGAACAACAATAACAGATTGAAACCTGATTCAGGAGGAAATTAAGACGTGATTGAACTCAGGTAATGCTTGCTACCATTCAGTCCAGAACCTTTTGTCTTCCTATCTGTTGTCCAAAAACATAAAAATTAGAATATACAAAACTATAATTTTGCCTGTAGTTCTGTATGGGTGCGAAACTTGGTCTCTGACATTAAGGGAGGAACATGGACTGAGGGTGTTTGAGAACAGGGTGTCGAGGAGAATATGTGGACCAAAGAGATATGAAGTGACAGGAGGTTGGAGAAAACTGCATAATGAGGAGCTTCATAACTTGTACTCTTCTCCAAGTATAATTAGAATGGTCAAGTCAAGGAGGATGAGGTGGGCAAGTCATGTAGCACGAATGGGGGAGACAAGAAATGTGTATAGGATATTGGTGGGAAAGCCAGAAGGAAAGAGACCATAAGGAAGACCAAGGTGTAGGTGGGTGGACAATATTAAAATGGATCTTAGAGAGATAGGATGGGATAGTATAGATTGGATAGATCTGGCTCAGGATAGAGACCAGTGGAGGGCTATTGTGAACATGGTAATGAACTTTCAGGTTCCATAAAATGCTGGGAAATTCTTGAGTAGCTGCAGAATTGGTGGCTCCTCCAGAAGGGCTCAGCTCCATGAGTAAGCAAGTAAATGGAAATATCTGATTAGTTAACTTATTACCTAACATCATATATTTCCATTATAATTATACTAATATTAACTGATTTTTTTTTAATTTTGTATGCATAGAGAAGACTTATTTATAGTTGGTTATTTAATGACATTAGTACTGAGAATATATAACACCCAGAGCTCTTCCACATGTTCAAGTAAAACAACATGTTCTTATATATCTTCATTCTGCTCTTGTTCTGCTTCCCAGGGTTTTCAGTTGATTGTCTTTTCCGAGCACAGCTCAAAGAAACAAGCGCATACACCTGGGAATAATTCTACCTCAGCTGCAGCTGGCATCATAAGCTCACTTGTGATGTCACGCCCATGTGATATTGAACCAACTGAAGAATACTTTCTCAGTATTGGGAGAGTGTTTCACAAAATATCACTTAGTGGATCAGCCATTACTGTCACAAGATACAGACCCAGGTATTATTCTCTTCAGTAGTATATAGTTTATTGACATAGCACATGCTTTGGTCTCAGTAGATGAAATGAATGTGAGCAGGGAAGTGGTAGTCTTCAATTCCCATGCCTGACATACAAACTACCTGATAAATATTGAAATATTTGGGACTGGAGGTCTGGAGTAATAGGAATTTTGTGTAAATGCTCAACTATGTAGAGTTAATAATATTTTCAAGGGCAGGAGCAACAGAAAATAATATAATGCTAGTGCTCATATATATACCTACTTGAAAAGCAATTGAAGAAGAAGAAGAAGAATTTAAAAACAGTTTTGACATGGTTCAGTGTCATATAAATCTTTGTCACTACGATTGTCCCAAAATCTGAAAGGAAGATGTAAGGATTTTAGCTAAATAAAAGGAACAATACACTTTTGAACTCATATGTGTCCCTGTTGAAGCGCCTTTAAAAGAGTGGATCTGTCCATCTCTTTGGAAAATATACAAGTGTATGACACAGGGCATAGTTGAGCCTAGACAGGGCCAGAATCATCCTTTAACCCAAGGGGTACTGCATTTCTACCAGCAGGGGTCAGATGTTCCACTGCAGATCAGAGAGGGTACAACCCTTTTGCTTAAAATGTTCTTCTCAGCACTGAATTAGCTTAGTGTTGATAAAAAAGAGATTACCTTTAAAGTATGAACATTTAAATAAGAACATATGACAGAGACAAAAACAACACCGTCCAGTGTGACTATGTAAGTTTTATCACTTGAAAACTCATCACCCTTCATCATTTAATACCAGGAAGGCTGCTGTGACTGAAGGGTTGAACATTGTATACATTGAGTATTTCAGACATTATATGTGTATGTATATAATTTAACACCTATTGTAATAGTAGGTTCCGGAAAAAGTATTGATGACCTCTGAGGATGATTTGTAGGGATCGAAACATGTAAATAGGGTGATGAGTTTTCAAGTGATAAAACTTAAATAGTCACACTGGACGGTGCTGTTTTTGTCTTTGTAATTGTTAGTGTGACGGACCAGAATGAAACAAATCAAATTCATTAAAAGCACATATGTTCCCCCCCCCCTTTTCCTTAAATATAGGCATTGACAAGGGGGGAATTTTATGTGGTCGTAGACCCACCTGTTCACTCAGTAATGAGTTGCCACTGCCTGTGAGTAAGATTTAGAGACTTCACAGGAAAGCAGGGAAAATATTCTCTGTAGGGAAATGGATAGGTGAGTGGTTGTAATTCATGGTAGAGGGAAAAGGAGCCACAGCTGATCTGGAAAATAATTCCATCTTACAAATATTAACAGTGTGGCAAGAAAGAACAAAAATGTCTAAAGGTCTTATGCTTTGCAAAATATAAGAGCTGCATATGACTGAGTAAAATACTTAGCCCTCCAGCTTCATATTCAGATGGTCCTAATTTTGAATCTTGGGACTGAGACATTCTGTCCTGACTTGAGATTTTTGTGAGTTTCTTCAGTCTTTCCAGGTAATTGCTTAGATGATTCTTTGAAGTAAACAGGGGCCACTTTACCTCCTTGCCAGTTTATGGGTTATCCTACCATTTGAATCAACATAATATATGAACTTAAAAAGCTATTGTGAAATAAGTTCACAATCAGTTAACATAAGAGCATTTCTTTGCTTTCAGACATCCATACCCTCCATTTAATATTCATTACCGTTACCGGTTTCATGCCCCTCATCATGACAACTATGAAGTTTCATGGGTATCTTTCACAACAGAGAAGTTAGAGAATTTTAATTGGAACTATCTGGATCACTACATTTGTACAAGAGGAGACACAGACTTTGCTCTTGCAGAGGTAAGGGGTTTAGGTTAACCCTTTCCTGACCCTACTCACGCTTACAGTCATCCTAGAGTTTGCCTTGTTACTGTCTTTCATTGCTTAATTCATATAATCATGTACTCCACTCATGTGTATTTTTTGTTGTGAAGTTAAGGAACAACTTCCTGTTTACACTTATGTTCCAGTCATACATGTGAAAGATATCAGTAAAAAAATTTGTCTTGAAAGCCCAAATGTGAAGAGAGTTCAGTAAGAATAGTTGTTTTGTTGGTATGCATTATGTGTTCAAAACCTATGGATGAGACACTGTGCCATCAAAGAAACATGATGGGTATGAAATGAAGAATGTTTTAAATTCATTAAGAGTTTAAATGATAAACAGGATATTCTGGGAAGAACTAATTGACTACTTTTCTATGATACAACATGGAGTTTGAGTCCCAGTAGCATCAAGAAATTTCTCTTCTCCAGGTCGTCCAAACCAGCTCTGTGGTCCACCCAACCTCCTATTCAGTGGGTACTCGGGGTAAAGTGGCCTGGTCGTGAAGCTGACTGCTCACCTCCAACTAGTGCCGAGGTCAAGAAAATGTGGATCTATACATCGCCTTCCCCATATGTCTTCATGTCATAGTGCTTAATTAGTTAAGCGTGGAGACAACTTTACCTTTACTTTTTACCTAACAGTGGTAGGGGGATACACAGGCAGACCCACACACTCTCCTTTGAATAGACACGGACCATATAGAACATGAGGCATTAAACAGTTCTCTATTGTATTGTGTATTTGTTGCTGCTGGAATGTGATTACCTAGCCATTGCCTAGCACTGAATGAAGGGATACACTGAACCAAGCTGTTGCTTTGCAATGACAGGAAGGATACACATACAGATATACAGACCGATGGGAAGTATTTGTAAAGTATGCTGTTGAGATGAACTCAAGTTCCATGATGTACATACCAAATTTCATAAAAATTGGTTCAGGCAATCAAAAGTTAATGGGGAGATACACACAGACAGCATGGTGGTCTCATAAGCCCACTTTCATTCTTTTAAAAGAAGGAAAGTAGGCTAAAAATGTTACCTTCTGTTGCTGGTTACCCCCATGTACGGCCTTGTTTCATGGAGTTTCTGCTTACAGATCATTTGCATGTATCCTTATGTAAATCATGAGCTGGAATTTCTGATTAAATGTTCTAGGGAGAAAACTGTATAACACAAAAAAAAAAATTCTTGAAAAAGGAAATTAATTTTATGTTGTTTCATGTTAAGACAAATCAGGAACTAGAGCCAATATGTGAATAGGTCAGTACTCCCAGATATTGTATGACCTATCAGTATATCAAGAAATTAATTTTCTTTCTGGTAGCCTTACATGTTACTGTAAGACAAGCAGAAAGTTTTGAAGTTTTTGAGTACTATGGCTAGGAGTAAGAATAATATGTGTGTGCAGCATGTTGAGATTTATGTAGAAGTCCCACTATCCACACTGTAAGATTTCTTCCAGTCCATTCAGGCGGTGTGGAACTTCTCCATGTGCACAGATAAGTAATCATAACAGTAGACATTTCTTCAACTTTGAACTTGAATTCTTCATGCTAAACACCAAACGGTTGAGAGACTGTTAACAAAGGTAATGTCATAGCTCAGGGATTAGTCGCTGGCTGCCCACTGTGGTGGCCTGGGTTATTGCCCAGATCAGGTCATGTGGGATTTGTGGAGGACAAAGTGGCCCTGGGGCAGGTTTTATCTGAGTACTTCGGTTTTCCCTGCCAATCTTCATTCCACCAATTGTTCCACAGTCACCATCATCTATCATCTGGGGCTGGTACAATAGGCAAATAGTGGCGGCGGTACCAAGTGGACTCAGTCTCACCCCACTAAGAACTGTTGAAAACGTGTTCTGCTTACATATCCGTATTACTGTACTGTAAATGTTTATGATGGAATACAGTCACATTTATATTCATTTCATAATATTTTTTCTGTTTTACTAACATTATTCTCATTATTTAAAAGGCTCAGAAGTATTGGCGCTTTCGTGTTTATCTTCTTCCACTGAATCATCAGGCCACAAAGAAGATATTGGAAGGCTCTGATCACTGTGATATTTACACACCTCCAACTCTTGAGGAGCAAGGCCATTTGATGGAAAATTTCCTACGATTTCTTGAGACTTGGGTCAATAGAATTCGCCGCCCAAACACCTGCAAGAAATCAAGGGTAAGACCAGCTGTTTTTATAACATCTGTTATGCACATTTTCTTTTTTCAGAAGCATGGCTTAATTTCCCTAAATGTCTTGTACTTGGTAGTTGTCTTCTTTGATATTGATGTATGTTGCAAGTCTGTTTTTAGAATGATAGTTTGCAAACTTAATATTACGTTTCTTTATTAACAGGTCTTTGAACATGTAGTGATCTTATTTATAATATAAACATTTGAATTTGTTAATATAAATTGCTTGTAATTGTTTTATTTGTTTAGTTTTGAACAACACTTTCAGTTTTGAGCATGATTTCTTGTTTAGGACATATCGGCATACATGTGAAGTTTTAAGATGCCAGGTAGAACTATGAGCAGCATCTCATTGTAATTTAATTTGCTCATGTACACTGTTTTATTAATACTGTGAAGTGATATTAGTTGAACAGAGTTGGCTGATATACTTATTTCTCTCTCTGTCTCTCTCTCAGTTAACATTGCAGAGGTCTCTGCAATGTGTGAAGCGATTTTAACACTCCTTTTTCTCTTATGCAGTACATCATTGTGAACAGAGACATCTCAGCCACTATCTCTTGTATATTGTATGAACACGATCCATCTGGAAGTTCTCTGACATATAGTGCAGGTGACAGAATGTCAAGGTCAAGCAACAGGCACTCCTGCTTCATACTGTACAACCTTGATAACTTGAGAGTTCATAAAAAAATCATGCTTATGAATGCTCATAATATCCTAAAATTGTTGAAACATGTAACAAGTCTGTCCTTTAACTTCCATGGGTCCAGCAATACATCTCCTCCTTTGAGTGGTATGCAGATAATGAAGAACAATTGACCATTCTCATCATCATTAGCAATATCTGAACTGAAGAGTTAAAGGCTTTCTTAAATTGACATGATGTCTTTACTAGCAACATACTGCTAATTAGATGTCATTCTTCATGATTCAGAGCCCTGCCCACAACTTGCTGCAATCTCCCGCCCACATTCCTTGCACAGTTCATTATGTATGCATACATCTAAGAGTAAGAGACCAACATGTGAAGCACTTTAGCTCTTACTGATGCTTGACATATGTGCATTATGATTGGAATACACACAGCTTTGTGATGTTACATATGATAGAGATTGTTGTGAAACCACCATGATACCAACTAATCAACTGTATACTCTGTAGTTATAATCTTGAAAGTATATACTAGTCAAAATTTCAAGCCTAAGTCTGAGAACTGAAGGAACTTGCAGATGTTTCAGTATTTATTAATAAGCTAAACCCTGTCACTTTTTTTTTGACAAGTCAATAAGATCTGGTTGAAAGGAATTGCACTTTTCATGCAAATATTTGTTGGGGCCTTCTCTGGATTAACTTAGTAACACTTGATTAATTGGCATTATATTATATTTCTTAATTTCTCTATGTTTCACTTAATTGAATGCTGCATGCTTTTCACTGTCAGATCTTCCCAATTGACTTTCTGTAAAAATATATAAAAAAATGTTTTGAAAAGCTGAATTCAAAAAATGATCTCATAAACAAGGAAAGTATGTTATGGGATATTGTATCAGTAGTCTGATACTAAATCGAATAAGGATGTATAATTTATGCCTCCTATGCAGTGTAATATCTGTGATGTTGATAAGGTTTGGTAAGAATAGAATTTAAAACTTTATTATTATATATGGTATTATGCTGTTTATTAGCTCTGTCATCAGAAGATTTGTATATGAAATAAATGAGCATAAAGCCCAATCCAGAATTGAAAAAGTACTGTCATGCTTGTATTTGTGATATATGCTATATGTAGACTTCCATCTTGGGTCTGTGGCTCATGGTTTGAAATATTAATTTGTCAGTTGGGAAGATTTGTTGCCTGTGTGTTAGAACAGAGACCTGAGCTACTTGTCTTTCTTCTTTGCTTGCCAACTGCATGCGTATGTTACAGAGCCCTGTCTTTTCAACAGGAAGCAAGGGCCAACAAAAGTTGATTCAGCGTCGCCATAGCTCCAGTTTGATTTCTCTATCCCACAGTAACAGTTCGAGTAGCAATATATCATCGACAAGTAATCCATCAACTAACTTACAGGTACATTTCCATTCCTGACCTCTCATTCCATCCATAAACTAATATACAGCTTCTCAGCTTATGT